ATGTAGTTCTTGATGATGATGATGATGAGATTATGATGATTATGAGGATGATGGTGGTGGTGGTGTTTACGTAGTTCTTGATGATGATGATGATGGTCTTGTTAAAGTAGTTCTTGATGATGATGAGATTATGATGATCATGAGGATGATGATGGTGAAGGTGTTAAAGTAGTTCTTGCAGAAGATGAGATTATGATGATTATGATGATAATGATGATGATAATGGCGGTGGTGTTAATGTAGTTCTGAGTGACGATGATGCTAATGCTGCTGCTGATGATGATGAGGATTATGGTGGAGGTAGTGATTTTCATAATAATGATAATAATCATGATGATGATGATCGTGGGGTGGTGGTGATGATAATAATGATAGCATAAATAGTGTAAATAACAGGATTGTTTCAAATACTTGGTAAGAAGCTAATAATAAGAGGTGACTGAGCCGACTGCCGCTCTTGTAAGACATTTTTGTCCTATTTACAAGCTTTGCACTATCACGTGATGGCAGCCATGACAGGAGGCACAACAATAGATCATTTCTCCCTGGGAAACTGAGTTCTTTCTCATGTAAATCAGATTAGACCAGATTCAATTGTTTCTGCCTCTTGTCATGGCTGCCATCACCTGATGGTGCAAAGCATCTATTGTAATATTCTCTACTTCAAAAAATTGTCCAAGAAATTTCAGACAACAACATATATATATTATCTTCTAGAAAATTATGTCAGCCTGTCATAAAATACACTTATTTGATATCCGTGATGATGGCAATGACACAATCTGTGCTAAGGAACGATCAACAACTCGCTTTTTGTTATTCAACGCAACAAGCTGATTAGATGTACACGGTTAACGAATCGAGACGTAAAGTAAAGCATTTGTTCGAAATATCGGCTTTGAACATAGAAGATATGATCACATTAAAGTATTTAAGAAAAAAGAAATAAGCGGTGGTCAGTCGCTTAAAATGGAAGAATAAGCAGTGAATTAAATAGAAAAGTTGGATACTACTTTAGACTAAACTAATTGAATGTTTAGCGGAATTAGTTGAGAGTAGCATTGATACGTACAAAATTGAAGAAATTTGGTTGGCAGAACACGAGAGAAGTGTTAGGAGAAGCACAACGCGTAGCAGAGTGCTTCTCGACACTTCTCGAGTGATTTGCCAATCCCAAGTGCTTGGTAACTCCACACAGCACAGCAAGCAAGTTTTTTATTCTTTTTATAAAATACAAATTATATGATTGACGAAACTGAAAGTACGCGCGTGCTGTGTGCTCTCATAAAGCACGCGCTCCCAACCAATCAGTACGCGAGATTTAGAGCAGTTACCTCATATAAAAAAAAAAGGTGTAATATATATATCTATAATATACTTCAAATTAGAAGTTAGAATAATATATAAAGTCCCACTCGGGAGTCATGGTTGTATTTCCACAGGAGCAATGATAATAGAAAAATAATAATAAATTACAGAAAACACAACTCCCGCGATCAAAGTTGTAAGTTCTGAGATAGTTTGTCTGTTGCTCTGTCAAGTTCTCCTCTTCCGCCTCTCACCCTTCACCGCACGAAGAAGAGATGATTCGCATTCTCGTATCCAGAGCTCCTCGGCTTTGTTCCTACCCGAGGAGCTCTGGGTACGAGAATGCTGACTCAATAAATAGTTAGACAGACTCAGTAGAGTGCATACCATATATCCGTAAAAAACTTTGTAAGAAATTGCACAAATTCAGTAGATCTTTGTAGACTTACAAAACTTTGCACTTATTTGTACAATTTTGCTAGTTAATTTTTCACGGATGTATGGTATGAACTCTATGTGAGTGGTAAATTAAAGCAACTGAACTTCATTCTGTAAATCATTCTTGACTAGAATAGTACGAGTCAGTATATTTTCAACTGAACACCGTGTTTACATGTGGTCAGACTGAAATCAACAGATCTGTCTCAGTGACTACTGAAGTTCATTGATTAGACACGTTTGGTGACAGCATTTATGAGTGCGGCGTATCGTCTGTTCTAACGATTATGAATATTTCATTCTTGAGGAAGTGCAGGCGAAGTACAGACAAAAAGTATAAGTAAACTAAAGCAGCAAAAAAGGCAGGAAAAAAGAAAGCGTGAATGGAATAGGAAAAGTAATAAAGAGAAAAAGAGCTGAAAGAGAATGAAATGATCATTGTGGAGCGCAAGGCATTACAGTCCTTTCTGTATGATTAATCAATATATGAGTTCGCGGAGTAATTCAAAGATGTCTAGACGGGAAACGTTAAGTATCTCGTCCTGTGGTTACCGTAACCGCTGAATATCCAATGTACTGGAACATATTTACCCGCCAGATTAATTCATGTAATTGAATGCACAGAGCGGAAAAGTGGCGCGAAAATTACAAAACTGGGCTTATGAGAAAATAAATTATTGATGTTGACTTATGTTATTTGGTTTTATTGATATCATTTTTATTTTGTTGTTGTTGTTATTGTTGTTGTCGTTGTTGTTGTTTTTGAAATAAAGTATCGTTATAATGCACTAGTCAATTGAAACCCCCACCCTCAGACACGGGGCCAGGGCGGGGAATTCAACATTCGAAATTGAAGTAGGGAAAAGATTTTCTGTTAGAATTATTGAAGTATGGCTGGTAAAATTGTTAAACTGTTGAAGTACGCGTTAAATTCCTCGTATGCGCATTAAATCTCCGATCTAGCCACGTTAATTCTCTGCCCTATCCCTCCGGGGATCGGGGTTTCAATTGACTGGTGCATAAGAAAAATGTTCAGCTGCATCGATGTTAGAAAGAAACTATCAGGGAATACATTAAAAACAAGCACATTAACAGCGTACGGTTGTTCACTCCAAAGTTTATCAAATTTCAATAACCACGATCAATTAAAGACCCATTGCCACTTACCGTGATGCACCGTGGTCACAGATGAATTTCGTGGTCCATGAAATTCAAAGATTCATATATTGAATAATAACTTCATATTAAATCCTTTTCCGACATAAGGCACAATAATGATTCTTTTACATTCTTTTAAGAGTTTATTCAAAAGGTTAGAATTGTTTTTTCGGTGGTGACACGATTCAAAATGTAAACAAATTGCGATGCATCACGGTAAGTGGCAATGGGTCTTTAATTGTTCATATTTTTCTATTATTGTCATTGTCATATTTCTAATATCTATAACAACTAGTACTATTATATCAAGTTTGTGATTAAACTTGAAGCTCGAAACAACGCATGACGTTCGCAAGTGTAAATGAAGAATTCGAAGAGGATTATTTATCTATTGCAATTGCCATGTTTTGCCATATTGGGCTACCTGTGTCTCCCATCGAATTAAGCATTAATTAAACCCTAATTATAAGTGATAATTATAAATGATTTCAAGCGGGAACTGATGTTTTTACTCTCCGCTATTGTTTATACACAACATATTCAATAATAGCTTTAAATTGGTCACGAAGTAAACTCACCATGCATTTTTCCAGCTTCTTGGTTTCAGTTTTTGTGTATAGTGTTCTTGGTTGTCAAACGGGGAGATAAATGCGCCAAGCAGACCAAGAGTTGTATGCTTAAAAAAAGATCAAATCAGCATAATTAATACGAACGCGGGATCACTTTGATAGTTTATCAATATCAGTGCTTAGAAACTAGCGGAAAAACCGCTTGGACTAATATAGAATGATTGAAATACTTGAAATAAAATTTAAAAAAATCAAAGATAAGGCATTGAATGTCGAATAATGAAACTTTTTGATTCAGGATTGCGGTAAAAGACGGATTTACGGTACTTGAGTAAGGAAACTCGAATGATCAAGCAAGCGAGACATATCCCCATAAATACAGAGCACGCTCGGGATGACTGACTGTATCTCTAAACTTCAGCAAAACACTGACATTGTTCCGCACCTGGATATTCTGCCGTGAAAAATGAAGACTTCGCTTCTCATTTCTGTGATAATTCTCCAAAGCCTTTATGCTGCATTTAGCCTTCCCTTAGAAACCAAATCCATTGAATTGGTTGAGCGCGGTAAGTAAACTGATAATATAATGAAATGATTGAGTCTTTATTTTGCATTTCGTATATTTTGTAAAAAAGGCGGGCTTTTCTAAATTTTGACTGAGAACCGTAATTTTACGGGTAAACTATTGTAGCGTACATTACCAATATAGCTCAGGTTAAACAACAGAATGTTATGCTATTGATACTATAAATTCGTTGTATTGTTCGTCAAATTCAGCTACTCTGTAAATTTTAGCAAGAGATATATGTATATTTATATCATAGTGCTTACATTATACTTGTAGCTTAATTGTACTTACTGCATGACCCTAGCTGTAATTTAGTAATTTTTTTTACTACGAAAGATGTAAATAAATAAATTGAAACATTTTCTAGACATTCCATATCTATTAAGAATAATCTACTTGTCAATCTCTGTGCTGAAAGATTTAAAGAAATTCTCAAAAAACTCCCGTCAAAAATCGCGAGTTCGCAAGGAACTGGCTGGAGTGCGCAAAAACTCACGATAACGAAATTAAGTGTGAGTCCTCAAAATGATCTTGCAACATTAACGTTATACATATAAAACAACTGTACGCTAAATATTAAAAGCAAAATAGACGGTAGACAAACAACGAGACGTTTCCTGCACTTGAAAATTATTATTGTTCAACAGAGTGTAAGGACAACCGCGATGACTGTAACTGGATTGCTAACAATCATTACGATGTTCCAAAGTACTGCTGGGCACACAGAAATGATGCCTTCATCAAAGACTGTCCAAAATACTGTGGATTCTGTAAGTACTACCAAATGCTATCATTATCTATTTTATTTGCACTATTTCACTATGACGTCACTTGTTAATAAGGGAGGACAGAATAGTGAAGTAACCGATAAAAATTTCCGGACTAATTTTACTCTGCACCTGAATTGATAGCTCTTTGTTCCAATATTTCTAGCAACTAAATAAATATATTTTTATTCACCAGGTAAACAGCCAGCCCCACCACAAGGTAGAACCACCACCATTATTGCGCAGATTATGCACGGCCTTTCCTTTCTGTGGGCAAGCGCGCGCATTTATATTACTGAAGAAATAGAAAACGCGCGCGCGTGCTGTGTGCTGTCATAAAGCACGCGGGGGTTGGCAGAACACAAGAGAAGTGTTAGGGGAAGCACGACGCGTAGCGGAGTGCTTCTGGACACTTCTCGAGTGTTCTGCCAATCCCCAAGTGCTTTATGACTGCACACAGCACAGCAAGCAAGTTTTTTATTTCTTTTATGAAATACAAATTACAATAATAGATAGGAATGACGCAACGGAAAGTGCGCGCGCGTGCAATGTCCTCTCATACAGCACGCTTATTTAAAGTAATATTATTTTTTTATCGCAGTATTTGAATGTGAAGACACACGTGATGACTGTTCGTGGATTGCTGAACATAACAATGACGTAGCCGCCTACTGTGACAGACACAGGAATGACGCGTTCATCAAAAAATGCCAAAAAACATGTGGATTTTGTGAGTAGTTTTTTTTTCAATTCATCTAACATGAAGAGAAAAGTTATTCACTGTACGCTATCGCTGACCAACTAACTATTTTCCATTATTTTTTATAGGTAAGGCTCCAGCACCTCCAATAGGTAAATAAAAATCAATTCGTCCAATTCAAAAGCGCCAACAAACGAACACACACAAGTGCTCTGCATTGTATGATTATTATTGTATGCTCTCTAGCAATCACAACCTTGCTTTAGCCTTCTATTTTATCGATACCCTAAACATCTTCTCTAGGCTGATCAAAGTCATGGCACGGCTAACTCATAGATCGAGTTGAAATTAAGCTTGTTAGGTTTTGAAGTAGGAGGAAAAATAGAGAACCCGGAGAAAAATTTTGGAATCAAGGGAGAATATAGCAAACTCTATATATGTGATGCCGAGTCCAGGAATCGAACTCGAGACCCCAAAGATTAGAGTAGCGTGTACTACCACTACGCCATCCTTGGGTTCTTGTAATCGTCTTAATTTTTCTTTATACATTTACAGTATGTGAGGACACACGTAGCGACTGTGACTGGATAAACCGCAATGGTGAAAACAAGGAGTCATACTGCGCCAGAAACAGAAACGATCCAGCCGTTAGAGAGTGCGCTAAGACTTGTGGATTCTGTAAGCAACAATGCCTAGTTGTACCTTATTAGGCGCAATATTTCCAGCAGTGGCGGTTCGTTGCGCCCGCCATCCACTCCTTACTTAGCGGCAGTTGGGGGAAGCTTTGCACAAACGACAACCTCGCGGCTGAAGCTGGGCCTACTTAATTACTCGGTCAAAAAAAAAAAGTTAAAAAATTTAGTTATAAATTTCAGTAAGACGAAATTAAATATGCTTAAACTATTGTTGTGCTTTTTTTTACAGGCAAAGCCCCTGCGCCACCGGAAATAATAAGTAAGTAATCATGATCAGTCTACATATAAAATTATTATCATTGTTGATTAATGGTACATTTTGCGAACTGACAGCATGTGAAGACACACGTGATGACTGTTCATGGATTGCTGAACATAACGATGACGTAGCAGCCTACTGTGACAGACACAGGAATGACGCGTTCATCAAACAATGCCAAAGAACATGTGGATACTGTGAGTAGTTCTGCGCACTGATCAGAAAACCTATTCAAAGCGCACTATCCTATATATACACAACATGCGTAATAGGTAAATTATGAGCCTTATATGAAACAACTGAAGATGAGTGCCAATGGGCCTTTCACAACTTCATCTATCCAATATGTGTTAAATATATATGTTTTATATATATATATATATTAAACGATAATACTTTTGAAAAAATTTGTAGGTAAAGCTCCAGCTCCACCAAAACTGGGTAAGTATATTTTAAATGTCACAGAAAAAATAGATAAAAATAAGAGTTTGGCTAGACTTTGACGGGAATCCTGTGTCAAAGATTCGAGGAGGCCTAAGTAAAATGAGTCTATCGGCTAAATATAGGTTGGTGCGCAAACAGATTGCAGATCTAATTTTCCATAAATGAATTTTCGAGGACAAAAAGCGCAGCGAAAACAAAAAGAGAAGCAAAAGAAGAACGCTATAATAACGATAACCAGATAGCGTTTTTCATTTACAGCATGCGAGGATACCCGTAGAGACTGTGACACGATAAATCATATCGGGGAGCCGAAAACTACGTACTGCGCCAGAAACAGAAACGATCCAGCCGTCAGGGAGTGCGCTAAAACCTGTGGATTCTGTAAGTAAAACTGTAGGTTTAGATTTGACTTATGGAGCTGTATCTCTGTCATTCTAATATGAACTAGTTCTTTTTTAAAATAAAAGATCAGTTTTTAAGATTAAATTTCTCTAAGAAATCCCGTTTCACATGATCCAAGGTTGATGCTGCGCACATAACTTGCGTTTGCCAGCCACGTTTCAGGTCTTGTTTGCATGAAATTTGTTTCTCGCAAAACTACAGAAGAAGCACGGCTGGAAGCACGGCGCAACTTCGTGGCATTCCGGACCTCAAGCATCAAATGAATGTTTCATGATGCCTTATCTAATCAAAAGTCCATTCTTCCACAGGTTGATGCACGAGGTACTGGCTTCCAAACGTTCACCTTTAGATTAGCTTCATGTCAAACAGCTTGCTTGTAAATTTATATAATAAGAAATATTAAGCTAAAACCTAACGTAAAACACGCAAAATTTCTCGTTCAATTCCTCTCGTGAGAAACTCTGCTGCAGTTTCCAAGAAGCTATCATACATGCGCAAATTCCGTACGATTTCTGTATAGAAAATTGTGCACGCTTCAGAAAGAAGAAGTCAGTCCATGTTTCTCGCAGCAAAACATATTAAGAATTAATCTACCCTGCTAACCGAGGTACATGACCAAATGGTATACGCATGTTTATATCATTCTAGTAAACATTAACTAAAACGAAAATAGTGAAGGAAATACTGAAATAAAACGAAATATAATCAATTGTCGACAGTAATCATTGTCTCGAGAAAGTGCCTTAGAGGATATATATATTCAAGAATTTCTGGTCAATGACTTATATTTTTCATCGGTCGAGGCTGGTTGACTAATCGTGTTTTATTTGCCGTTACTTAATCTTAGATAAGCATACGTTATATTTGCTTGCTATTTTATGCTCTGCGCCAAAAAGCAAGAAACTAAAAGCGTTCATCATTGAAAGTTGGCAAATCCTACTGATTTCTTACAAAATCCCTGGACAAAGAGTCACTTTGTGGAACCGCTTTTAATTACCATTTATTATTATTTTATCTAAATATAATATTAATTAGTTCCATAACTGTTTTTCCAATACTTGGATTAAAAGTTGACTTCTTGGGAGTTATCATTCAGACTCGAACTATTATGCATATATGATTTACACAAATCAGTAGTTATTAATGCGCAAGCTCAAAACCTTTTGTCAGGCACGAGTCTTCTACACTGCGCATGCCCAAATTTTAATTTATTCGACCAATTAATCCACACCGAATGATCAAGCATTTTGTATAAGCACCGCGTGACGACTAGTGGCATGACTGTCGATTGAAACGAGCATCTCGCCGCTTTTTCAGCCGCTATTCTTTTCAACAATGGTTACTATTATAACTAAGCGAATAAATATAGAGCATCGTGGAAATTGTGCCAATAATTGCTTGGTTAGACTTTATCGATCAGCCTTACAGACCGATGACTGATCTAATAGTATATTAGATCAGTATACTATACAAGACAATATACAATACAATATATTATACAAGATGCCTTACAACATTGATATCTAAGAAAAGTATAGACACTATCGTAGAAATTGTGTCAAGAATTGCTTAGCGATCTAGTATCGATCGATTCTTCGATTGCACGTTAAGTTATCGCGGCCATGTTATTGACCATGCATAAACATTAATGGTCCTAACAACCCAATTTATGTCGGCAAAAAAGTATTATCAACCGATGACCGAACAAACAAAGTTTACCAAAGTGTTCTAATATACGGTAAATTCTACCCTGAGTTTACTGTAATTTTAACCCGCAGCCCCACCCTCTACCCCTGCTACAAAGTATTCTTCTACGTCCTTGTAACCACCACTCATGACCACATGCTGATGTTTGTTTATTATTCTTAATATTGTCTTATTTTGAGACCAGTCTCGCCGACCACTTTAGATTTCTCACTGACCGCAACGATCATGGTATATTGAAATGATTTTCAAAACATCCGGCTTCAGAAAGTGCAGCAAGCATTATGCTCAAAACAATTGTCTTTTGGGCGCGTGGGTTGTGCAAAAAAAAAAAAAAAAAAAAAAGACGGTCTTAAATACGGTCACATACTGCAGGCTAAAGACATATCCAGTCTTCGTAGTCGAGAGTAGCAGATCTTTGAAAAACGTCTATTGAAAATGAAGCCGATGTTTCTTCTTGCTGTGGTAATATTTTACTGCATGAACAATGTCTTTAGTGTTCCAGTTATGGATCTTCATCCTCTTGATTTGGCTGCACGAGGTGAGTTCATCCTCAGCTAACAATTTAATATTTACGAAGACAGGGCGAATCTATTTTGTATGAATACACAATGTTTTTTTTTACTTTGATTTTGCCTTAAGATATAGAATAGGCGGGAAAAGTATACTGCCCCTCCCATTATGACTCCGATTATTCTCCGAAAATTCCTTACTTCCTTCCTTCCTTACAACTCGATGACATAGTGGTTACGCTGTTTTTCAGACGACAATAGCCACAAAAACGGTAGTTGGAGTCAAAGGAGATTGGTTATTTCAGAACTGAAAGGAATTATGTGGCTTCACTAGATATCCCAACGTTAACCTCTGTGTTTCTTGACGAGATTAATAATACTATACGAAACACAGTCATGTCACCTAGTTATCCGTGCGCTGCAACTTAGCTAATTCCATGGGCCGGGATTGCTTTCAAGTTAAAACAAGAGACTCAACATTTCTGTATGCCTTATTTACCAAAGAGTTTGCATGGTTATATCAACTAATTTGATTGGTTTTCTCTGATTAGTGGTGTGTGAGGACACTCGTAGTGACTGCAACTGGATTAGTCAGCAACCCGACCCAGGCCAGTATTGTGAACTATACAAAAACGACCCAGAAGTCAAGAAATGCGCAAAAACTTGTGGATTCTGTAAGTATCAATACACGCACAAACAGAACGCTGTTAAGCATGGACGGGGCAAACCTTTTGAATATCGTAATTTTCCCTTTTCCCTATTTGTTGGGCTACCTGGCGGGAAACGAGTGTGTTCGCGCGTCTCGCCAACTCTGATACTTTCGCTATATTCCACTGCGCACAAATAAAAAAAACACTTTTAACGAACTGTCCGATTGCTCAAAGAATTTCAGAGAAATGTTGTGATAAAAGTTAATTGTTTTAATTTATTATGTTTTAGGTGGTTATAAAGCTCCCGCACCAGGTAACTATAACTGATAAATATAATTAATAAATAGCTCTTGTGGCGCTGATTCTAATTGGATACACAAGATGATTTTCGCTTAGAAAGGAAAATGGAGAACGTGGAAAATTAAATCTGGAAGTACTAATAAGCAACTCTGAATTCTGCTTACGTAAGACACCGAGGTCGGGAATCGCTTCTGATTAGTTTGGGTCTTTTCTGGGATAGCGAAAAGATTGACATGAAGGATTGTGAACTATCTTGGGAACAACATATTTTGTTCATCATGCCTTTTATGGTGTTGTTTGTGCCGAAGCTAGACCACAATGCACCGTGTTTGGCGCTCGAGTCTATTGGCTAAATATGGGTTGATGCGCAAACAGATTGTAGATCTAATTTCCCATGAATGAACTTTTGACGACAAAAAGCGCAGTGACGATAACGATAACCAGATAGCGTTTTTCGTTTACAGCATGCGAGGACACTCGTAGCGACTGTTACACGATAAATCATATCGGGGAGTCTAAAGCTACATACTGCGCCAGAAACAGATACGATCCAGCCGTCAGGGAGTGCGCTAGAACCTGTGGATTCTGTAAGTAAATTTGATTTATGTAGCTGTATTTCAACAGGGCTCTCTTTAAACTAGTTCTGCTAAATGAGACATAAATATCGTATAAATATCGTTGAAATAAATAAATAATTATGAAAGTAGTTCTAAAAAAAACTGTGTTTTTAGAAATTTCTAATAGAAATTCCAGTTCACATGATCCAAGGTTAATGCTGTGCACAGCACACGCGTTTGCCAGCCACGTTTCAGGTCTTGTTTGCATGAAATTTGTTTCTCGCAAAACTACAGAAGAAAATTGTACACAAGACTGCACCGCTGGAAGCACGGCGCAACTTCGTGGTTTTCCAGACCTCAAGCATCAAATGAATGTTTCATGATGCCTTATCTAATCAAAATTCCATTCTTCCACAGGTTGATGCACGAGGTACTGGCTACCAAACGTTCACCTTTAGATTAGCTTCATGTCAAAAAGTTTGCTTGTAAATGTATAATGAAATTAAGCTTAAACCTAAGGTAATACAGGCTAAATTTCTCATTCAATTTGTTGTGAAAATCAAATAATAGAAAGTGGAAAAGATAGTCAGTCTACTTTCCTTGTAGCTAAACACTCAAAGATATAAAGAATTAATCTACCCTGCTAACCGAGGTAGATGCCCAAATGGTTAACTGCCGAGTCCTCGGGTAAAGGTTCTTTTCGTAGTGATCGAGAATAACAAAAATAAATGTTAGTAAAGCGATTTCCTTCGCCGAATCCAGTTCAGTCTTTGCTTATAATAAAACGATGCTTTACTAAAAACGAATTATTATTTTGTTAGTAATGGCAGATGTAGACATTCTTAAAGAACAATGCCGTCGAAAACTCTGTTATCCAATGGGAAATAAATGGTTTTCCCACACACCACTGGGAGCTATTGTCCAGCTGACCGCCGCCAACTGACTTCTTTATTTCTGACTAACTCAACTTTTGCATTACTGTAATACATTATTCTTATCATGGCAACGTGGTTTCCATGAAAAACTACTCTAAAGTCCTTCCAGCAATGCTGGCCTAGGGTTGGGGGGGGGGGGGGGGGGGGGGGGGGGGGGGGTACTGTGAGGCTAACTAATGAGAGTTAATGTACATATTATATGGTGTGACGTGAATGGGCCTATGCTGTCATCTGTAAGGGTGGGGTGGGTGGGGTGGAGAGAAACTTGCAAAGAACATCTCTGATCGATACGGACACAAAAACCACGCCTTCGCTTCATATTGGAATTGGTCACGTTCTCAAACTTGATTGCGAGGCTTTAGTCGTATCATGATGGTACTTTATGTATGGTACATTTGCATCGAAGCGAGGCAAACGGTTAGCTTGCAATGATAGAGACGTGAATAATTGTCCGATTTGTTAAAAAAGGTCTCTATCATTGCAAGTTCATCGTTCGTCTCTCTTTGATGCAAAGACATGGCTACCTTTCAAGATGGCTCAGAGAACTGTGAAAGGGAATATTAAAACAATGGTCATAAAAACAAGGCTCCTTGCCCGACATACATGGTGGATTAATGATAAGTGTCTTTCCTTCATACGATCAATGCGATAATCAAAATAAACCGTACAAAATGTTTCCAATGATTACACCTTACGCATTTGATAATGTGGGACCGAAATCCAAATCGATACTGTTAATATCAACGCAATTAAGACAATGATGCAATAGTAGTATGCATTTCAGTGCAGGGAAAATCCAGTTACTAGAAGCCTTAGTGCGTCATGTTGCTTTAGAATATCTCTAAGAAAGCCTGTAGCGCGTCTTACAGATAAAAAGACTGCTAAGATAGTGTTCCATGGGAACTTCTCTCATTTCTATGGGAGTCTAAAATGATTACTGCCATTTGGTTTAAAACTAATTACCAGACTAATACTGAGGTCATATAAAGCTATGGTGTCGTTTCATTCGTCCATCGGGAACGAAAGCGGATTTTCGATAGTTTTTAAAGAGAATTTAAAAGTTGATTTCTAAGCCTTGTATAAAATAACGACTTAAAATATAGAATTCATTAAAGAAGTCTCAAATTTAAAAAAAAGTAACGAAAAATTATAGAACCGGCGGCAATTAGTGTTGATAAGTTCAAACCGCATGCGCGCGCAAACCGTGTAATGTTGTCTCACTACATTTACCACTAAGTACTATGATAACTCACTGTAACATGTATTAATATTGGTTGCTCAAAATATCCGGCTTCGGGAAATGGGATCGATGTTATCTCTAAGCCAAGAATCTCTTAAGCATAGCAATAGTGCAAACAAAATTTGGTTTGCGCCAAAACTAATTTTGATAAAAAAATATTAGAAATCTTCATTCCCTTTTATTTCACGTTCGTGATTGTATATATGATTTTTGTTGTCTCTATGTAGCACTGTTTCTTCATCTTTCTTCCTGCAATAAATTACCTTTTTACTGGTTTTCCTTTCAAGGATTCTTTGAAAACAGCGCACCCCATCCATTATATTGTTCATCTTTAGTGCCTGCCAGATAAACAAAATCCAATGTACATAAATTAAATGTACGCGGTACCATACACACTTAGTACGACGAATTTCAAACCACAAAGTATAATGTCCGGAAATAATCATTCAATACACGAGGTTTGGAAATAGCTTTTCCCCGCCAAATGTAAATCTCCTAAATTTTATTGCTATCATCAATGAAAAAAATTACCTTAGATATTGGTTTTCCATACAACGAATTTGAGAAATCACTGCGTCAACATGAAGCCGGATTATTTTGAATTATTTTGAGTTCTTTGAGAAGAGAATCGTATTTAACTTATTAATCTTTTAATGTACTGTAGACGTAACGTAACCACGGAACTACGGCACATGAGCACGCAAAAAATGATACTTACATAAGCGATAACTTTTGCTCTTAAATACAGGCCGGACGATTGAGGGCATCAGTTCTTATTATTCTTTCCTTGGCTTGACTTGAGTTGTTGCTAACTGATCTTTATGCGTTCAAAAATGAAGTTCATGTTTTATGCTATGGCGATATTAGTTCAAAGTTTTTATGTTGCGCTCAGTTTTCCCTTGGATGAAACCATCGATTTGTCTGAACGTGGTGAGTCATTGTCAGTGTTTTACTAGCGATGGATTGTTCTGTTGTACAAGTTCCAGAAAAGGCGAGCTTTAACGGGCAATCAAACAATGCAACTTGTCGCGCAAAAGTGTTATCAATGCCGTTAAGTTGCCGAAAAAAATTTTTCTCGCTGATTACGACCCCGCGCGCAACAACGATTCATTTCTTTTGCAATGAGAGAACCTCTACTTCGCGCAACAACGAAAATTATTTGCGCGCGCGTTGTATTAACACAAGTAACTTCATGATGACGATGTCGTAAATTGTGTTTAAAGTTGCCGAGCAAATGTTGCTCCTAATGCTATGCCCCCTACGCGTAATTTTCATTATTTCAAAGAGAAGAGAGCACTTTTACATTGAGAAACACTGAGCAACTTCATTATCATCACTATTATAACTATTTGTTACTATTTTTCAATGTCAACAGAGTGTAAGGACAACCGTGATGACTGTAACTGGATTGCTAACAATCACTACGATGTTTCAAAGTACTGCTGGGCACACAAAAATGATGCCTTCATCAAAGACTGTCCAAAATATTGTGGATTCTGTGAGTGACATTTATCAAATAGGAGTATCTTTTATGGCTGACCACTCGAGTCCTAATTCAAAAAACAATTTGAGCAAAGTTTTGATTTATTTTTGCAGGCAAAGTACCGGCACCGGCACCAGCACCAGCCCCAGTAGAAGGTACAACTGTAAACACAACCAAACAACCTTTCTTTGTATTTTTGTAGGCTTATAATAGTCCTTAATGTGATAATGAGATTTTAAGACATTATAGGTTTTTTGATATCGAGAAATCACATAAAAGGGTCCCTTGGGTGAGTGGGTGGGGGAGTTTTACACCCCTCTCCTTACAGCTGAGTCAATAATAATAATAATAATAATAATAATAATAATAATAATAAAATAATGGGAGTTTCTTATATAGCGCATTTCAAATATATCTCAATGCGCTTGTACATTTATGGCCAGTGGAGGACTTTACGGGCTGCATATTAAGGCGCTATTATCGGATAATCCTGTTAATTCTAGGATGCGAAGACACTCGTAGTGACTGTAACTGGATAGTTGAAAACACCAACTCAGCGGAATATTGTTACCAATACAGAAATGATCCAGAAGTGAGAAAATGTGCAAAAACTTGTGGATTCTGTAAGTGTTTGTTGACAGTCATAGATCTGCTTTTTTTTAAACTAAATCCTTTTTTCTAATAACTTGATGAATATACAAAATACGTGTTTCAGGCAAACCTCCCGCACCACCGAAACTTCAAAGTAAGTAATGAGTTAATATTAATTTGAAATGAGAACTATATCAAAATATATATAAACCTGACCGCGAAAAGAATCGTCCAGGTCTTATCATCGAAAAGAAAGGGATGGAGTTGTTTGCGTAACACTTCAGAATGAATTTCCCATGTTTATGAACTTCATACGAACACTCAGGATGATGAGCGCGAGAAAAAGAGGTTGTACCTTGCAGAAATAGTTAATATATCATCCGTAAACATTTGCGCGCATGCGCCTTTCTAACGCGGCAGCAATTTTCACTGGAAGGATTTTTTTCCTACTCGCTTAAAACACTCTATGTGAACACTGTATCTTGAGTTGCATCCTGATTACTTCTGTTGTAATATACACCTATTTTAAAAACGTTGTCGGAACCAAAGATTCAGATTATTCCAGGACCGGTGGGATTTATAGCAATTCGCTGGTGTTGAAAATGGATTCGTCCACTACAACAGGGTTCGTGCTGAAGTAACCACTTGAAATTCAAGGACTATTCAAGGAGTATACAAGGACCCAAAAATGAATATTCAAGGAGTATGTTCAGCTAACTTTCCCAAGGTTTTACACGGTGGTTGCACATGGCCGACTTTCAGATTTTCCAATCTTTCTGACTAGATTTATTTCAGAACCATGAAAGCAATGATCAAAGCAAAAATTTAAGGAGTTTTCAAGGAGTTTCGCTAAAATCGTAAAATTCAGGAGTTTTTCAAGTGCCCTTGAAAAAGTGAATTAAATTCAAGGATCGAGTTTTCAAGGAGTTTAAGGAGTAGCACGAACCCTGTACAAACAACACTGGATGTCTCAACAGCAACCTCCGTGTTGGGTGTGGAATGCCTAAGTTCTATCGCTCATCGCCTTTCGTCTATCTCGTTTGACCCTGACCATCTTTTTTGAAATAGGTTTATTTTGGTATCATCAAAAACGATAATTAATTTTAATTAATATTTCAAAATATCAATCGCTATCAAAGGAGTATCTTCTGAAAAGACATGAATAGATTGATAGTATAATGACTGAATTGTAATTGTATCATACTGATAGAATGTGAAGACACAAGTCAGTACTGTTCGTGGATACCCAAACATTATAATGACGTGACTGGGTACTGTAAAAAACACATGCGTGACAGCCTTGTACAGCAATGCACGAAGACATGTGAACTATGTAAGTATAACTTATCGTACGCAATATGATATATGTGTGTAGTAAAATGTCTCAAGTATTTTTTTTAAATAACTGTTCTAAATTTCGCGTTCTGATTGGCTGGGAGCGCGTGCTTTATGAGAGCACACAGCACACGCGCGCACTTTCAATTAAGCTATTCCTATCTAAAATAACGGCTATTGTTATTTGTATTTCATAAAAGAAATAAAAAACGTTCTCGCTGTGCTGTGTGGAGTTATAAAGCACTTTGGGATTAACAGAACACTCGGCAAGTGTGAAGAAGCACTCCACTACGCGTCTTGCTTCTCCTAACGCTTCCCTCGTTTTTGCCAATCCCCGCGTGCTTTATAACTGCACACAGCACGCGCTCGCGTTTTCTATTTCTTCAGTAATTTCAACCTCTTCCACAGGCGAACCTCCAAAACCAGTGCCACAGCCTCAAAGTATGTAAAACTGAATATTAATTATATGCAATAGATTAATGATATCTCTGTTATTATCTTAATAAATAAAACTAAATATTTATTTAAGTTCTCGTCCTGCCTATAATCTAATGCTATTACTCAGGTTTTGCTATCAGAATGAATGGTATGCGAATTCTACTTATATCTTATATACTTTGAGTTTATAAAGGGAGTCCATTATATAAAGATGATATTCATATTCCTATTATTTTTATCGCAGTACTTGAATGTGAAGACACACGTAATGACTGTTCATGGATTGGTGAACATAACAGTGACGTAGCAGCCTACTGTGACAGACACAGGAATGATGCGTTCATCAAACAATGCCAAAAAACATGTGGATTCTGTGAGTAGTTTCTGCGCGATCATTGTCACATAAATCAAATGTTCACTACTGGTATTTTTGGATGGTAAATATTATTAAACAGTTTGTATAAGCTTCTCCTAGTAATCTCTAATCAAGTCGCGGTTATAGTTTCTTTAATGCTAATATTTATAATAATAATATTTTTTGTAGGTAAAGCTCCTACGCCTCCAAAACCTTACAGTAAGTAAAAGCAAGAATCTTATTCTCAAGAAAGCAACACGTGATCTTAAATTGCAAAACTTTACGCCCGAGATGAAGAGATTGATAAAGAGATATATAATAATAAATAACGTGTAAAACATAAGATAATTGCATTTATTACTCATTTAAGCTCGATATCCGTGAAATAAAGCCGTGAATAAAAACCATATCAGTGAAGTGATACGATGTCACTTCACGGTAAACTGTAACTGTAACTTGACTACGATAGTAGTCAAGAGTGACGAGATAAATCTCTATTTAGTGTTTATTTCTATTAAATTCAAGATGAATTTTGTGCTTCTTACATTTTTAATTAAGCTTTAATATCTTGAATGATATTGAATTGGAAACGTATAATTCTTTAACATTTTGAAATGGTGTAAGTCGGTTAAGGATATTTAAGACAATAAAACATTTTGTGTGTGTTATAATATAACACGAGGACTCGCTCGTTCGCGATATGATACGGAAAAACTCGTGAATAAAAACGATATCAAGTTCTTAACATGTGATAATCTATATTTATTATATAGATATCGATGAAATACCAGGTTTTCTCTAGTGTCGAAAACTTGATATCTTTCACCAGTGGAAGATACCATATCTTTCACACGTGAAGATATCGCTGTTGACATAGTAACGTATTTTAATAAAGAATTTTTGAGCTTTTGTTTTATTTAAGTCTCATCGATATCTATGTCGCTGCACTCACTCGTGAGATATCAATTGAACACTCGAAGATAAAATTCGTATCTCCGCGCGACCATGTAATATCCTCTATTTTCACTTTTTTCATGTTGCGCAAGATGTCCATTACAATACTAGTCGATTCAAGTCATAATTAAAATCGAGCGATGTGATTTTCATCCTACTATATTAACAGAATGTGAAGATACAAGCAATGACTGTTCATGGATCGCTAAAAACTATGATGATGTCACAGGGTACTGTAGAAGGCACAGAAATGACAGTTTTATCAAAGAGTGCACGAAAACCTGCGAATTTTGTAAGTATTTCCGTATGTGTTTCACCTGTTCTTCGTGGTGTTTTTAAAAAAAAACAAAAAAACAAAACCTGTTTTGTCTTTTGCAGGCAAATACCCTACAGTTCCACAGCTTGAAAGTAAGTAAAACGTGTAATAAATTCATAAAACGATATATATTCAGTCAATATCAAATTGCACTTAAAAAAAGCGATTAATCTGGCATATGATATTCATTGCCTTATCTTCGTTCAATTAGTAATTCTTATCTTACTTGCTGTTGGTTTATCATATACTTATTCATATTGCGTTCAAACATACATTGTGACTGTTTTACGCAATGTTTTATAATGCGCATGCGGGCATCGATCTATGGAACATGCGCAATATATAACTATTGAAGTATTATCATAATCACTAAATGAATTTACACGCATACATATATAGAACTGCATCACTCATACATATCTACGGCAATAAAATAATAATAATAATAATAATAATAATAATAATAATACATTTGTAAAGCGCTTCAGGTCTGTTCTAAGCGCTATAAACAATATGATATAATGATAAAGTTATAAACGAAAAGCTAGTTAAAAAGATAAGTTTTAAGTTTGATATCAATTTTTCTTCTTCTTATTTCTTTTCTTTACCTTTGTATTGTCAGAATGTCAAGACATGAATGAACACTGCTCCTGGATAGCTGAACACTACGGTGACGTCACTGGATACTGCAACAGACACAGAGAGAACAGTTTTATCAAACAGTGCAGCAAAACATGTGGATTCTGTGAGTATTTTAACTACTCCCTTCCTGCTCTAGATCCTCTCCTGGGAGGAGGCTTGGGAACAAACCACGATAGAGACCTTTAGCATCAGGTTTACCGCTAACCTCTAGGGATCAGGCCCAGAAACACGCCCGCAAACACAGAGAAACACACAGCATCAATGACATTCAATATGGCTTCTCCCCTAGTAACAGCTTCGTTATGACGCTTTGCTAGATGTCGAAAGTTTGACAGAAAGCGCCTGCCGTCCAATTCTTGAAGTTTGAGGTTTGTGGTACCTAGTGAGAATTAACGTGGTGCTAAAGGTCTCTAATCTCACGACTGAAACCGAGCCTATTCCTGCTCTTGGTAATTTGTTTATGGATACTAGTTATCAAATAAAACAAATATATTAACTTATAAACTGCATATTATATCATTTTAGACGTTTTTTAGTCATGTTTTAGTATTCTTATTATAATTATATGTAAATAAATTCACGTTCTTTTAACCAGCAAGGGTTTGCAAGTTCGTTATTTCAATAAAGCTTTTTTTTTTTACAAACTAAGGTTGATAAATGTATTTTCAAACATTTTTAGGCAAAGCTCCAGCACCATCTAAACCTTATAGTAAGTAAAAATTAAGTAATATTTTCAGAAAGAGAATGCGTGTCTCGATAATAGCTTTAGCGCAGGAGAGAAGCAAACATTGAACTTGGTTACATATTCCATACAGGATGAGTTTCTCTTTAAGAAAGTTGGAACAAATTTGCTGCCCTTTGACATATCAGAATATCAAAGCATGCGCAAACAGTACCACATAACGAGCATTATTGAAGAAATAAAAAACGCGCGCGCATGCTGTGTGCAGTATATACGCGTAGCGGAGTGCTTCTCGACACTTCTTGAGTGTTCTGCCAATCTCCAAGTGCTTTATAATACCAGAAAGCACAGCAAGCAAGTTTTTTTCTTTTTTGAAATACAAATTACAATAACCATTATTTTGGGTATAAATGACGCATTGAAAGTGCGCGCGCGTGCTGTGTGTTCTCATAAAGCACGCGCTCCCAACTAATCAGAACGCGAGATTTATAACAGTTATTTTATAATTTGTATTATAATATATAATATATTTGAAATATATCGCGCGCGCTGATTTGCTGGCTACCGTGTTTATATCAGAGGACAGAGACACGCTTGCGCAAACTCGTTTGAAAATATTTTATAAAACGGCTGCTTATGTCCCTGTACTGTGATATAAACACTCTGGAAGCTGTAGAGCACTCGAAAAGCAAAAGAAACTATTTCGTACTCAGCATTAAGCGTAAAATGAATTTAGTATTGTTTCAATGATTAAAGTCTTTGAAATCTATCGTAAGCACTGGTTACGCTTTGTTCTTTATAACAGATGTGTTTTTTTATTAAATGCAGGATGTGAAGACACTAATAAGCATTGCTCATGGATACCTAATACTAATGCTGACTTCATAGGCTACTGTAACAAACACAGAAACGACAGTTTTATCAAACAATGTCCAAAGACCTGTGAATTTTGTGAGTATTCTATAGTATTGTCTAAATGTTGTTTCTTTCTATAAAGTTTCTTATAAGCTAAGGTAATACGCATAAAGGCGTGATAACACGAAGCAATCAATTTGCAATGTGTCTCGCGACGGTATTGTGACATAAGTTGCATGTAGCATTGCAGCGTAACCTACAGCGCAATTCGAACAAATGTTGCGAGATAAGTGGCAGCAATCTTTGGGAAAAGTAGATTAATTCGTTTCTACTTTTGGTAACGGCTGCGTCTCTTTTGCACCGTGTAAGCCCTCTTACGACTTGTGTCGCGAACGCTGTTGCAATTAGACAAGTTGCAGAAAAAACTGCTCCATATAATCGCGCCTTGAGTGCAACTTGTCACACAACGTTGTTTTAACGTTGTTTTAAAAGCTGCAAGTTGCAAAGATTGTGTTGCTTGCAATATCACTACGCGCGCAAAAGAATATTTGTTGTGTCATAAGTTGCACAATATCTGTTTGATTTAATACAAAATTTTGTTTACTTTATTTCGTCTTCATCCCCGTTTAACGTACTGCATATATTCTCAGTGGAAACTAGTGTCATTCATTACAACCTTTGCCGTTAGTTAACTTCAATCTATTTTGATTTTAGGTGAATATCCAACAACACCACAGCCTAAAAGTAAGTTGACAACCATATATATTAAAAATCGCTGCATTGAAGTTATTTCATTTCATTATGATTTTATCTTTTCAACACTGCGCAATTTTAATGTGCGCCATTTATTCTTCGAATTAAAATCAATTGACAATGTGATTTCCTGAAAAATGCGAACCTATTCGTTGAAACTGCATATGTTACGCACACCAACTGCTTACGTTTTTTTATCACTGCGAGAACAAAACAAGCATTTTCCTGTCTAGCTGGTAAAAGCGCAATTTACAACGTGTGGCCAAGCATCGATTATAATTTTACTCATACAAGATGTACTAAGAAATTGTTGCCACAATCTATGTAAAGAATTCTATTCTTTTTCTAACAACGCTCGCAATAGCAAAAAATGCAAGATCGGTTACGAGAAACCATTCAACTTCAAACAATGAAGTCAAAGTTTAACACTTCTTTACTGAACAGATTGTGAAGACATCAGCAATGACTGCTCGTGGATAGCAGATAACTATGGTGATGTCATAGGGTATTGCAGACGGCACAAAGATGATGTGTATATCAAAAGTTGTAGAAAAACTTGTGGATTCTGTGAGTATTAAGATCTTGCATGGCTGCACTTCATCATTCAGAGTATAATATCGGCTTGCATTTTTAAATATCTTTCTAGGTGAGCCTCCCGTGCCTCCTGAATCATATTGTAAGTAAATTTACACATATTATACTGGTATAATATGGTTATATGCATTTTAAATTCCGGTAATTCGAAAAATAGCTTCTTGTAACTTGACGCGCAATGTTACCGTGTTGTAAGTTGTAGCGCAAATTTGCGCGCATCACCATTTCACTAGTCTGCTATCAGTCACACAAACCTTTTGTAGTCGCGCAAAGATTTTATCCCTAACAAGCGAGTGTAGAAAAAAAAGTTTTTGAAAACAATACTGTACATACATGTCCGCAAATGTACTCTTTTTAGAAAGGACGCATATTTAGATATATTCCTTTGCGAAATGAACTAGCGTCCTTAGTATTTATTAGTCTCCTCTGCAGCCGTCATTAGTTTGCTGCGGAGGACTAAGTATTTATGCGTACATGGTGTATGTTTGCCTTTAAGGTATGTCAACTTTTTCAAACTATCCTTATTGCGCACCGTGCCCTTTTAAAGACTGATATAAGTTAATGTTTTCGTATTGCCAGTCTGTAAAGACACTAGTAAAGACTGCAAGTGGATAGCAGAGCAGCACAAGGATGTTTTGGGATTCTGCCGCAGCCACAGAAATGATAACCTTGTCCAACAGTGCTTAAGTACATGTGAATTGTGTAAGTATTCTGCACATACCAGTTTTATTCTTGTGGTGATTCGTGTTAAATTTATGTGATCCCATGCGCGGAGCGAAATACGTCAATTACATATTTTGGTATTCTGTTTAAGCGTGTTTCTATGCTGTGGTAATAGGCGACTTGCACTAAGAGGTCACGTGATCAATTCGGCCATTCAGGTCATGCAGCCGGCGAAACAACACTAAAACACTTCGTAGGTCTTCACATCGTAGCGCAAAAAATACCATATTTTTTCTCTTGTTGGCTAGTTAATATCAAAAATCTACTTTAGATATCTACTAAGAATATATTTCTTGCAAGAAAAGGGGATTTTTATCGTTATTTAGTGCGCTAACTTACCTTTTATCACCAAAAAAACACGCGAATCGCCATCTTTTTTTACATTCTCGCATAGCTAAAATCCTGTAGAATGCCAGCCACAATGGCCAATTTGATCACGTGACCTCTTAGTGCAAGTCGCCTATTGAATCTGTTATCATTATGTTCCGGCATCGTACAATATGAGAAAGGAGGGCAATATGATGTTACTAGGGTACTAATTAAGCACACGTCTTACACTTTGTTTCAGGTAAGCACCCACCACTTTCTCAAAGTAAGTATACAAGGCATATTTAATGATTAGCTATCAAAAGCAACAATACGGGCTAAAATGAGCCTTACTCGTGTCCAAAACACATTTACGCCCTCGAACATCACATCTATCGTTATAATACCACTCAGAACGCGAAAATAATCCTTTTTACTTCATTAAACGAAATAAATTCAAGTCAATTAACATTCACTCTTTAAGTTGCAAGGCAACAAGGTTGCGCAAACCGCGAACAATTTTTGCTGGTCACATATCAGCATAATAATCGGGTCAGCCGAAAAATGATGACCTCGGGGTATACCTATACTAGGAGATTGGCCTCCATCAGATCAGAAAGCTGCACGCACTTGTTTCAGTGCGCAGTCTCCAAGACTAAGCAAAGTCCACTTGACATCGGTATTTAGGCACGGAGGAAAATAAAGGCGCTTATTTCAAAAATATATAATTCAAAACATAGAAAGCATGATGAATTTTATTATGTTTGCTGCTGACAGAGTGTGAAGATTCAAGAGATGATTGTTCGTGGATCGCTAAAAACTATGATGACGTCACAGGGTACTGTAGAAGGCACAGAAATGACAGTTTTATCAAAGAATGCACAAAAACCTGCGAGTTTTGTGAGTATACTAGACTTGTGCATGGTCCATTCTTGTGAATATGAAATCTTTTATAAGGCGTGAGTTGAAATTGTCTTTTTAACGTAACGTTTCCATTTTAGGTAAACACCCGACAACATCAAGTAGTAGTAAGTACTAGAATATAATGTAATGGACTACTTTGACTAAACGGCGGCCATCTTGGATTGCAAGGCATTATGGGGCGTCCAGGGGGCAAAATAAAGAAAAGATGGCAGATAATATATGGAGTTTTGTGTTTGTCTTCTTTCGTGGCCAAAGGGATCAATGTGCCATCTTTAGCTGTAATAATGATATTGAAAAAATATCATCAAGCTTCACATTATCTCTATATTCGCCCCCTGGAAGCCACACAACACCTTGCAATACATGATGACGGCCTTATAGTCGACGTAGTCTATTGTCTTGGTGTGATGTTTGTACTTATTGTGTTACTTTTGACCATTTGTTAATTATCAGTAGGAAGAGGACTAAAACAATCTTGATTATGAATCTTACTGTAAATATTTAGATTTCTGCTTGCGCGACATCCAGTAACACACCTTTTTTGGTCAAGATTCAAACCTTTAGCATTTCCAAGGGTATTTAAAATACATTCAACCACACAACACTTCATATCTATACACACTCTATGGTGATTTTTAGTTATCAAGAAAAACCACAACACTACATATCTATACACACTCTATGGTGATTTTTAGTTATCAAGAAAAACCACAACACTACAACCTGTACAATTAAAAGAGAATGCCACTGGGTAGCTACTTTTGTACTAAAACTCCGAACCGTGTAGCGTCCTCAAAGTTCCATTACTTCAGTATAAACAATAACCACTTCCACAAAAGAAATAGCAATACAAAGCTACGTACTGCGACATTCGACGTCAAAAAAATCCAAGATGCAAGATGCAGCAGAAATGAGGTGTATCATCGTTTTATGTACTGTGATATAGTTCTTAAGTTGGCTTTTATCTTGCTCTTCAGCTCATAGAGTGCATGTTTCACAGTACATAAACATAATCAGTCATTTTATATAGATCTTAAAAAAATTTTGAAATATTTTACGTACGCGAGCATGTGTCTTTCCTCTGATATAAACACGGTAGCCAGCTAGTAAGCGAGCACGTTATATTTTCAAGTTGAATATTTCATAATGCTTGATAAATATCTTGTTGACAGAATGTGAAGACATCAATAAAAACTGTTGGTGGATAAATAAAAATTATCTCGCACAAGACTACTGTAGACGACACAAGGATGACGAGTTTATTAAGGAATGCAGGAAAACGTGTGGATTCTGTAAGTGTTTTATCGATATTTACAATTTATAAACTAGTAAAAGTTCAATGCTCCGAGGGATGGGATGAAAGAAAGAAAGAAGGAAGAGAGCAATAAACATATAAAATGGAAAAACGGAGTGAACATAAAAGAGAAGAGAAAAGTAGAGATTCAAAGAAAGAAAGAGAGGTGCAAAAACAATCTATGAGAATCTATAATCATTTTTCAAAACTGATAAAAATGCTTTTAAAACTGTATCTCTTTTAGTGGTTCTGGTTACCTCGGGGATGTCCTGGTCGCAATTTTAACTCTTTTTTTTTCTTTGCGAACCATGATTACATCTCTTTTTTTATTTTGTAACAGGCAAGGCTCCAGCACCATCTGGTAAGTAATATTGTAAAAGTAATTTGTAATGCGCGTGTGAGCATCTTCCAATGGAACAAGCGCAATAGAAATATTAAAATTGCTAACTATTAAAATTATCAATAACATTGCTATCTAAATATAAACTACTCTAGATGCGTAGCATTCCGATGGACTTCACAATTTACTCAACTTTGTCATGCTACCTACAATTTAGTGTGTGGAGATACTCGAGAAGATTGCAGCTGGATCACCCGAAACATTGATGATGTAGCAAGCTACTGCGAACGTTGGAAGAATGATGAATCTGTTAAAGAATGCAGAAAGACTTGCGGATTTTGTGAGTACATCTAATTCTAATTTATCTGCATTGATAACCTGCAAATTGTTGGTTCTCAATTGACGTAAAGTAATAGTCGCCATGTCAACTGAATTTTCCATTCTATCAGAAATGATTGAAATCTCTTCATCTAGTAGTCTATTGGTTGCGCCATTTCATGGACTTTTCCTTTTAGTATTCGACCTTCATAGTTTTGATACATTGTCTACTTTCTGTAATCATCTCATAAGATATGCGCAAAGCTTTCGAGTAGCATCAATTCTCCATTCCAGTTCCTTCCCTCTTTGCAAGCCAAGCCTGGTTACGTTCCATAATGGCTGCCATATCAGACACACAAACGTTGACAATTTTTGTCTTTTTCACAGGTTGATGAGCAAAGAAAAGCACGTTTCTTAGGTTAAGTTTTTTGATACCTCAATCATGACGCTTAATAATTTAAAAAATATTTTTAAAAAGAGAGATTTAAGCTGAATAAGAGGTAAATGAAATATCTGATATTGGAATACCGGTCTGATCCTGATGAACGCGTGTCAATTAGCTTACGTTTAGGTATCGAAAGCGGTAATGCCTTAATAACTTCTTCTTTTTAAATTACTCAGTTTTTAGTTAACATAACCTGTATGCTTTTAGAATAAATAAGATGAATAAATCACACAAACAACCTTTAACTGACACTGTTGATTGTAATGAGTGCTGATAACGCTTCATTTGAACACTGTGATTGGTCTATGGATTCTTGTGATACAAATGACGTCATAGCTGCCATGTTGGATGATTTCAACAAACGATTTGTCAAGGGCTCATTTGTTGTATCATCTAACATGGCTGTTATGCCAATTATTTCATCCTCGGTAATGGTTGGCCATTTGATTTCTCTTCTTACGCAAGTAGCGCAATTCTCACAGCGCACTACTAAGATGCGTTAGAAGTTGAATCACACCGATTTGCGTAACGTAGCTGTATCGGGTGTTATTAGGGATTTTAAGATTTGCAAAATCTACGACGGCGACGTCAACCGGAAGTGTAAATAGTTTCTTTTTGGGGTTCTATTCGTTGGAAATTTCGTTTCAAACATTGTCGTTAAAGTCAACTCATCCACAGGGAAGACAGACTTTGAAGGCGCGAAACTCCAAAGTGAAATTATTTACACTTCCGGTTGACGTCACCGTCGCAGATTTTGCAAATCTTAAAGTCCCTATTGTTCTCTTTAGGGATGGAACGCTTTTTATTGGATGGGGGAAGGGTTAGGGGATTCGCAGTAAACGTTTTAAAAATGATTGTACCCCTCCGCCTTTTACACTCACTAAGAAATTCATGACCCTCCTATTAACTTAACCCCTTCTCTAGCTTTTGTCAAAATACAAAGGTCTGACCCTCACAAAAGTTCAATTTTTCAGCTCTCCCTCCCCCAATAAAAAAAGTACCTTCCTTTAATCTTATTTGTGCATTTGTTGCTGTGAGTTGGAAATTAAGCAAACTTCACAACACCACAACTCAATATTTTTTACCTCAACTTTTATTGTCCATGACGGCATTTGTCCTCTTCAACGCTGAGTACTTTTAGTGGAATTACATCACTGAAAACTATAATCACAGATTTACATCAAATGAGCGCAAGTCAATATGTTATTGTATGATACAAAACTTCTCTCTGTTAATCGCAATAATAGACTATAGAAGCGATATATTTGAGAAAAGTGATATCTTGCGTCTCCTTGCCAAATTTCAGGGACCGGGTAAAGATGCTTCCACGCACGCGCGTTTCAGCCAGTCAAACAACTGTGTACCGATGTGGGGGAAAACATACAAGGCGCGAGGAATTCTGATTCACGATATATCTGTAGACARCATATAAAGCATATCTTACAAATTCCTTATTATAGTAGGTGCATGTGAGAGTAACATTCAACATACAACACGTTCCGTGATCGTGAGCGCCTTTACTGATGACACGTGTAATGCCCTGTTGATTAACATCAATTGTATGGCGTGATTTTGCCGTGTCACGTTACTTTTGAGTGTCAAAATGCGATGATCATTGTGTTTTGTGCTAAATAATAAATAATAAATAATAATAATAATAATAAATCTATTTATATAGCGCTAATTCAGAAAATTGTTCTAAGCGCTAAAATCGTGGGTACAAGGAAATCAGATCGCGCAACCTACTTGTGCAAACTAATATGTTTATTTTCTGTGCCTTGATCTATGAGATGGGGTATAGAGCGACCACGAAACAATAGCTCCAAGTTGAGTTGGGCAGTTATAAGTCCAATCTCGACTTAGGTCCATTTCGTGGTCACTCATGAGCGAATTCAGGAAATATCCATTGGATGAAATTAGGATACAACGATGGGAGAGGAAAAAACACAATTTACCCATCATCTTCTCCTCGCATCAGCCTCAGTTCCCTACAAGCCTAGACTTACGAGGCTAAAAAAAATGTGTGGTATTCCTGTTTCTACTCTACCACAGGACGCCCGCGAGCTTAAATTTGTCTATATGCCCGAATGGAGGAAGCAAAACAAAATAATGAAAAAAGTATAATTTTACAAAAATGTATTAAATTCAGCGTTATTCTCGATCTACGTTTTAAATCAGAATTACTCTTGAAGGAACTGGAATACTGGCGTAGAACCAGCTGGTGTCTTCTGTCACAAGTATAACTAAATTGATTTTTTGGTGACTAGGCGAACGTTGCAGACTGTAAACCAAGGAAAATCAGCTAATTTGAGCATTAAAAGGCAGCGAAAGCAAGAGTTATATCACATTTTAGTAAAATGTTTATATAAAACTACTCAAACCAGTTTGCGAAGCAATGATGGTACATTTACAAAGTTGAGGATTTGGGAGTAATTGCGCGTCTTTCTTCAAACCTTCGAACGTATAAAGACACATAAACATACCTTTTTACTTGTGAATCAAGACAGTGTCAACCTTCTCTTGCAAATGGTAAGAAAATAGCCATATTATTTTTGTTTATTTGGCTGAACTGTCAAAGATGTCGACCGAACAACATCTCCTCGTGCCAAATTTTTAATCTCCCGCCCAAAACGTCTTACCCAATCGGAATGCGCCATTTAATCAAGGCCCGTGCGTTGTCATAGCGATCTGCCAAAATATTTTTTTTAATTTTCTGGTTCGTAAAAAAATTCTTTTTATTCAAGAAAAACGCAAAAATCTGATGAAAAACGAGAATGAAAAGGTATGAATTAGCTTTTAGAAAAGGAGCTAAGTCAGAAAATGCATAAAAACCATCACAATTTTAGCAAAGATGAGCTGACTTTATTCATGAATAAATATTATCAAAGGAACCCAGTCATGTGCTGTTCCTTAAATATTTACCATTTCAAATGTTTGATATATAAAATTGGCTTACAAATAAAAAGTAGTCCCAATCCGCCGCGAGCAGATGATGAACACTTTTAGTATAAGGTTAAAATCCTTCCAAATTTTTTTTTAATTTTTCGAATATTTTCTTTTTTCTCGAATAATCAAACAAAGAAGTAAAATGGAAGAATAAGCAAATAAATAAATAAATTGAATGAAAATGTGAATGAAACAAACTAGCATCCAGTCCTTGTGCTGATATTGTAGTAAAGACATGACGTCATGCGCAACGCTACGCATGCGTTGTAGTGTGTTTCAACATGGCGGATGCTTTCTTGTTGTGAAATCGTGTTTGAAGAAATCAAGAATGAAGGGTATTCAACAAACTTAGCTCCTCTTGCTACGATAGCCTTGATATGCCTAACTCTGTAGAGGTACAGAAACCTTATATTGTCTATTGATTTGTTTTGCTTTACTATTTTTTTATTACATTGGTTTGAGATTGAAAAGTCGAATGGTTTCTTTCTTTTAGGGTCTACGTTTTGGTGATTTTTCTGTTGATGATTGGGAGAAGATTCTAAAAGATGTCAGCCAGAGCGACTCAGCTAGGCCTCCGGTTGAGGTATTCACAGTCAATATTACTAGTTATTAATATACTTTGTAATAATATTTTACTACTTTCCGGTTACTATAATTGATTAAACGCGACATGCACCGAAGCTTACTCCATCCAACTTCAATTCTCTTTGAAACAAATTAAACTACTACTTTCATAAGTTTTCTAAATCTATTTTATTCTTTTTATCTAGTTTCTCTTTGATTATGTATGCTCGGAAGATGATCAAGTCGCTGACGATGACAAAGGTAAATAATTCATAGTAATCTATATAAGATATTACGCGACTACTGTGGTGGCTGTGCAATAATCCATTAAGGTGGAAATAATAATACATGCCTGCAAAGTTTTACGTTGTTACATCTCGAACACTTCCGTTATTTGTCCGTTATTTATGAATCAATTACTAATTGTTGTTTTAGTATTCCTGTGTATTTTTTATTTCGGTGGAAGGACGAAGTAGTGATGATTATAATTTCAAAATTCTTGGGGTGGGGTGGTGGTCGGTGGGCGTGACATAGAAGTCATTTTTCACAATGATCTTTCATTAATTTACCTACCTAGATTTTTTACTTTTCTGCTCTTATATTTTTGAAATTTTAAGTATAGCTAAATCCAAGCTGTCTTGAAAAAAATTTTTTCACTTAATATTTTATGCCATTTCTGATTGCCAACCAGGTGTTTTGGTTCTTGATATGTAAGGATATTAGCCAATCAATACGTGCTTTTAAATGCCTCAGCGTGACAGCTACTCGTAGAACAAGTCATCATAAATTTTGCTATTAAATGTTTCAAAACAAAATTCAAGCCATCAAATTGTATTGTTATTATAAATTTTAAATTCACACAAACAAGTAATTTCTGTTTCATGGGCCAAGGTATCAGGATATACACATTCAAGACCACTGTTTTGGAACACAAAAAGTTATTGAGTTCAAGAGACAAAATTCTTAATGGATTTTCAAAGATCATTTATTTAGCTTTCAGAAAATCTATACTTTTACAGAATATTTTATTTAAAAGGCAGGCCATAATTTCATTGCTTTTATTAAGTGGTCTCCCAAGTATCCTGATCACTTAGACCTTTTTAGGCCTTTCAGAAATTCTAAGTACACCTCCATTTGGAGTTCAAATTAAAACAAGAAACTTTAGTGTGTACAATTTATTTATTTTTAATGTTGATATTTCCTGCATATTTGTGTTATCCAGACCTCAACGTGAGTCGAGAAGCCCACAACAAAAGTGTTCCCACTGGACCAGATGATTCAGGAGTGGAAATTGGACTTGAGAGTGAACAGGAAGGTGTTCCTGCAAAACATCACGTTCCGGTTGTGTTTGTTCCAAACAAGAATGTGGTTGATGAAGTAAAAACCCTTGAGGAAGCTGGAGTAGAGCTGTCCTTTTGTGGACGAAGTGTAATTGAAGATATAGAACCTACCAACAATGGGTGAGATTTAATTGTAAAAGTTTAGACTATTTTTTTCTTATTTATCTAACATGTTGTTACCACTGTTTTCATTGTCAAGCTCTGGTCAAGATAATTAAAACTTGCCGCAGATAAATTATTAGGAGTAGAATACTAATGTCAGTCAAGTACATTGTTAGAGTATTGTTCCAATGTGCTAAAATTCTAATGAATGATTTATTTGATTGCAATACAAGAGTACAATTAATTACTGGCAATAATTATTAATCTGTTGCAATATACTGTACTTGTCTTGAACAGTGTCTCAATTAATTTGTAACTGGCTACTGTACTAAGCTGATATGTTTAGTAACAAATTCTATATCTAAAGCAATAAAGGAACACTGAACATTTAAATTTTCAAACTTAAATAGAATTCCTGAAATGAATTTTTTGTGATTGTCCCACGCTGTGATACGACAGTGAAAAGCTTTGTAGATTTTTTTTTAAATTGCTGGGGGATTTAATTTGGTGCAGAGAAAGATCAATGAGTAAATGCTTAGCATGTACAAGGAATATATTTTAAATGCTTAAAGATTTCTATATTTTTTTCTAGCTCAACATATCTGCAAGATGCAGAAAATTTCCCTCCACTGGGTAGCTTGCAGACCCAAGATGTTGAACGTTCACGCAAACGTCGCAGGAAAAGAAAACAGCACCAAAGATCTGGGGATGTGCCATGTTCATCTAGTGAAGACAGTGATAGGGACAAGAGCCCTGCTAGTATTGTTGAGAGAGTTTCACGCGTAAGGAGTGGCAGTGGGAATGAGAAAGGGAGTGGTACAACTGAAAATAAGGGAGAAAACCAGGGCGTCTCTGAAAACGCTGCAAAGAAAGCAGAAACTGGTTAGTAAAATTTATCATAACATACATAGACAGCACTGAAACCTTGAATTTGAGGTGCTTCAAGTAATAAAGAAGTGTGTTTTATGTTGAGCAACTACTGGTATTATGCCATTTACTTTCATGGCAACTTTTTGTATAGTATGTCAGCCATACAGAAAGCAGGGACATTATTTTGTTCTTTCATACTATACCCAATTTTTATAGTATTCATGTCCCTACTGTACTTTCTGGTATTATATTATCATTAAAATAGTTTGTTATGTGTCTGTGTGTAGGTCAGGAAAATAAGAAGTCCTGTAAAGAAGGCCATGATGCCAGCAGTACAGACTCTAAAAGCACAACAGAGACAGTCTTATCCATTGGTGATTCATCAAGCAGTCCACCTCAGAGTGATGTAGATTTTCACACTAACAAACTGCCGCAAAACATTTCTGATACTACTACCACTACTGCCAATAACAATACCACTGAGACAAGTTCCATCCCTAATGAAGCTACAAACAAGCCGTCAAATGCTGCACCCGTCAGTTTGTGGGCTGATTTGTTCCGAAAACCATCTTCTAAACAGCCAGCAAGTAAAGTAGAAACTAACAATGTTGTCAGCACACAGAAGGAAGCAATCAAAGATAATAATGTGAAAAAAGTAGAATCTGTGCCTATCGTCATTGATATAGCTGAGGACAAGAGGGCTATAAGGATTGCAGGTATTGATATAATTAGCTAAATAATAGATAAGCAGCATTAATGATTTAAAACTTGTTCGAGAGGGCTGTTGTATGAATTAAAGTGTGCTGTAAAAAGGTAGTAGTTGTGCAGAAAAATGGGTATCCTTTTAAATAAATTTACATAACTATATATGATGATTTTTATGTGTGAGCCTAACACCTAGTCATAGTTTCTGATATCTGGACAAGATTTCATGAACCCCTCAATCACAGTTACAACAGCATGAATGTGTTACTATTTTAATCATTATCATACAAATGTTCATTCGTACTCCATTAGGGGCCATGTAACTCATACAAATAGCATTGTTAAATTTAGATTTTGTGGTTGACTAGTCAATGTTTATGATACATGGTGCCTAATGGATTTTGAGGTCTTATTGTTTATTCAATGCCTTTCAGAAACACTAAAGAAGCTGAGCCTGGATTACACTCACAAGCCACTGTTCCTCAGAGGACTTATAAACAAAGCTAACTGGTGTTACATCAATGCTGTATCCTTTAATTACCAATACCTTATTTCACTTGTTCCTGAAACTATATCGATTACACTCTGGGAATTGAATGATGCTTCTTCTCAGACAGGATGCATTGGTCTATGAGGTATTTATTAATTTCTCTATGAAGTATTTGATTTGTTATCAAATATATTCATATGAAATGATCTCCTCTGGGGCATTCTATCATTCTACTGCCTCAACCGGAAGGATAGTATGGTGGATGTGAACTTTGCACTTTGGCTTAAGATATTTGCAACATGTTAGTTATGAAACAATAATTAGGGAGTCAGGGTTAATGCAGTCTGTATTGTGTATTGGAATAACTTTGGAGGGTGTTATCCTCTCTCTCAAGATAGCCCAACAGTCCATTCTCCTACTGGTATTTCCTGTAATAATTGCACTGAGTTCTATTGGAAGGTAATGATATTTCAATTGTTTCCTTAATGAGTTTAGACACTTCAAGCTCTGCTCACCTGCCCTCCATTCTTTAATCTTTTAAGGCAACTGGAGCCTTTGAAAGATAAAGAGTCCACTTCTACTCCAATACTGGACAGCATGTAAGTGTTCTATAGAACAGTTTTCTTATATCATAATAATTACCCAAAATTAATAAAGATGCTTACAAATGTTTTATAAAGCTTTGCTACAGTTTAATAAGTTTTATGTAGGTTATTGGTTTGACAAGCAGCACTTTGAATAAGCAATTTTATGCGAGGGAAAAATGCATGGGCGAAATAGTCTGAGGGCGAAAATACTGTAATTCTGAAAAAAATGATGGGTAATAATCCAGCTTCAAGTTTTCTGTTGCTCAGGGTTAGCCTAGATTTTGTGCAGAATGTTGACATGTTCCAGTGAAGGTCAATTAAATGAATGCTTTCGCATTGAGTGATTCTGAAATCAAGAAACAAACAGTATTGCAGTATGAAATTGAAAATGGTCTACATGTATTGAGCTAATTAAGAGTTGAATTTTAATTATTGTGTTAATTTGTTTAATTCCTGCAGGGTGAAGTTTTCACATGAATTTAACATTCTTCCAAAGCAAGGTACTAAACATAAACTGATTGGTTTTTGTTTAAGTGTATGTAATACTGTACTTAACTTATTAAACTTGTTTTCTTAAATCTCATGTTGTTCCTCAAAGCGTACAGTGTAGATTTTTCAATTTTTAAATAAGCAGTGATGATAAACAACAGCAACAGCAATAAATTTCGCAAATATGTAATGATGAAAAACAGCAACAACAACAATAACCAAATGCTACAGCAGCTAGATAACAACTACTTTGGCCTTGTGTGTCTGATTTTTGTTCAGCAGCAAACCAGGGAAAGAATGGCAAAGTTGAATTCCGTACTGGGTCTTCTTTTGAACCAAACTATGTTTACAAGATGCTGTCAACCATCCAGAGCTCATTGTCTGCCAAGGTAAGTTTCCAGAAATCAAAAGTTCTCATTTCAATAAAGACATTAATCAATAATTGGCATTTGATGGGAAAGGCATTAGCAAGTACATGTGCTCAGGGTTTTCAGAATGTTTTGGAGTAGGTGGTCATAAGTTTGAAATAGCTGGCCAATCATTGATAATTTTTTAATAGAAAAGGAAAAATAGCGGGCAGTTAACTTTGAAATTAAGAAAAATAACTAATATAATAAATAATAATAATATTGATTTATAGGGCCGTCAAGAAGATGCAGAAGAATTCCTAAGTTGTGTCCTCAATGGAATCCATGAAGAAATGCTCCAGCTAATGAAGCTGTTAGAGCCAACCACAAAGGCAGAACCAGCAGACTCTGAGCAGACAGTTACAGACGACCCTAGTGTTGTGGCAGTCAATGGACAAGATATTGACAAGAATGATGATGATGACGATGGAGACTGGGAACAAGTGGGACCCAGGAACAAATCAAGTATTACTAGAATGGTATGTATGAATTAAGAAGCTCAATTATGAAGCTCTATTAAGCTGTTATTCTGTCTTTTATTTTTTAGTATTCACCAAATCAAGATATGGTGACCAATTTGAATAACTATTGTTCCGGACTGACTAGCAACTGACTAGCCTCTTATATGTGTGAAACACTTTTACTTGAACACATCGCTTGTCAGTTACAAGTTGGTGCAGAATGATAGTTATTCGAACTGGTCGCCATATTTCGATTCAAGGTTTACCTAATAAAAATAATGTAGTTCATTTTGATTTAAAGATTTAATCTCAGTCCTATTTAGCTTACTACCAGCTATTTAATAGCATGTCACTATGGTTGGTGAAGGGCGACAGTGCTAAGCCATCCACCTCTCACAAAACAAACCTCCACATTAGAAAAAAAACTTCCCCCATTATTATTGAGTTGGTGTGAAAAGGGTAAAATAACATTGAATCTTGACATTTCAGTGGCCAACACATCCCCCCCCCCCCCCAAAAAATGTCTGCTTCTGCATAGTTTTATGATGCTTCACTTTATAGGGCTAAAAATAATCATTGCTCAATAGTCAGACATGAACAATGACCTTATTAGACTGTTCAAAAAATTGGACATCTTCATTGACTGGCCATTATTTTTAACCCTGCCTTTCAAAAATAGTATGATTACAAATAAAGTCATTGTTTCTATAACTGTTTTCAGGCTATTTTCCCTCAGTCTCTGGTGTCTGATATATTTGGTGGATATCTGAGGTCATCCCTTCACCAGGCTGGAGCTAAAGAGTCTGCTAATGTGGAACCCTTCTTTGATCTTCAGCTAGACATTCAGGTATTACATAGTCTAAAATAGTTTGATGATAAAATTCTGCAATAACATATGAAACATTGTAAAAAATAAACATATTTTTTTACGTTTCATATTTTATTGCAGAATTTTATCATCAAATGTATAAAAAACCTTTACAAAAAACCTTTACGACTAACATCAAATGTATGTTTATTAAACAAGAAACTTCTTATTCGACTATAAACATCTCATCTCTGGGGTCTTGGATTTGATTCCATTTGGCATTGCATGAGTAGCAGAGTTCGTTAAGGATCACTCCCTTGATATGAGAATTGTTTTTAGGGGGAGTTCTTCATTTTTCTTATCTTTGCAAAACTCATCATGATTCAGACTCTTTTTAGGGCTATGCATAATGTCCAACCAATGTTTGAAGTACTGCTGTGCTCAGGGCCCTGCCATTGAGCAGCCTTTATTTTTATCCCTGCTTATATTGTGTAATAGTTTAATACTTCATGCTCCATTTATTGATTGATGGATTATGAACTCCTTTAGAATGTGAGTTGTATTGAGGATGCCTTAAACCACCTTGCTGTTAAAGAAGAACTTCAAGGTTACACATGCTCAAAGACCAATGCACAAGTAAGTAGATGCATATTATCACACAACATGTTATAATCAAATCTAAGAACATTACTTGATTGTTTTAAATTGAACCTTTATTGGTTTTTGGTACAAAATGCACCAAGCTATTGAACATGTCGTCTACCATCATTGCTTGGTAATTTTGGTAAAATAAAGATAAAAACACTAATTTATTTACATCAGTAAATGTGAAAGGAGATATTGAGATTAGCCCTATCGTGAACATCTCCTAGGATCGAATTAGAATTTATTAGCTGATTTTTGTGGAGGGAGGAAAACCGGAGTACAGGGAGAAAACCCACAAGCACAGGAAAGAACCAACAAATAACTCAACTCGTACAACACCGAGCTCAGGGAGGCTCAAACCCGGGTCGCCTTGGTGAGAGGCAAGCGTTCTCACTCCTACACCATTTGTGCTTCCCTGAAAAGAAGTTAGTCTATAAAAACAGAATCTTTGGATTTCCTTGTATTGAAAATGTTTTATATTTTTTTCTGTTATTTCTCTCCAGATTGACATATCAAAACGTGTCACATTTGAGAGTCTTCCAAAGATTCTTATTCTTCATTTGAAGAGATTTATTTACTCCAAGAGTGGGAGCCAGAAGCTTCTAAAACATGTGGACTACCCATTAGATCTCCCTATTGGCAAAGGTATTGCAATATATTTTACACTCTTTATTAAATGAGGAGAACTAGAAGGCAGGGATATATATAGTGCTAACAGCTACCTGTTGTATCACTAACATTCAATTCCTCAGATCTTTCCAATTTATGGTTTACAAATTTTGGCATTGCTACTATTTTCATAAACACGGGAACTAGGTACAGTACACTGTAGTTGCGAGTTGCACTCTGAAATTTGGTTTTTCACTGGCGCCAGTCAATAATATGAGAGGTACTGACTGCGTACTTTTGATTGACAGCAGCAAAAAAACAAATTTCAGCGTGCAGCTTACAGCTACAAAGTTCACCTGTTATGAAAATAGCAGTAATGTTAGGGGCACTGACTGAATAGTTTTGATTGACAGCAGCGAAAAAACAAATTTCAGCGTGCAGCTTACAGCTACAAGGTTCACCTGTTATGACAATAGCAGTAATGTGAGAGAGGGGTATGATTGATGGTAATGGACATGTTTTGATCGACATTCAGTTGACTGTTGACTAATCAAGGATTGACAATCCATTGGTCATTGGCTGTCCATCAATACTCAGTTGGCTGACTGTCAACCAATAATTATTGATCAACAAATGTGGATCAACAAAAGTTGGCTAGTCTTACTAACTGCTCTTGTTTCTAACAGAATTGTTGTCACCAAATGTGAAGAACAAATATTCCATTGCTCAGAAGAGCTACAAGCTTATAGCAGGTAAGTTATGCCTTTGCCATTCCCTTTTATTTTGTTCTTTTCCTTCCAATTTTGTATGTGTGTGTGTGTGTTTGTATCCAGCCAAAGACTTCAATGGTGAATCCATGAATCTGATAAAAAGATGGAGGGGGGGGACCTTGAAACAACCCTGAAAGTGTAGACATTGCAGTGGCGGATCCAGGACTTTAAGAGGGGGGTTCATTTTTGCAAATCTTGGCACAACAATAACGTTCTCTTGCATCATCATTTTTCCCATGAGGCACATCACTGGCCTAGTGGCGCTCCTGATAAGGATAACCTATCCACCAGTCCCATTTCATATTAAATCTCATGAGTTAGTACCATACTTTATTTATTTATTTTAAAAAATCTAAAAAATCCAAGGTACCAGCCGGTGGGGGGGGGGGGGGGTTCATTTGCACCCAATGAACCCCCCCTAAATCCGCCACAGCATTGCTATGTCATAAGTCAAAATTGAATTAAGCATGTTGGATTTTTGCTAAGGAGGGAAACTGGATAATCCAAGTAGAATCCTCACCAAACGTGTGAACACATTGCTTTTCAGTTGTCTATCATCATGGTAAGACAGCATGTGGAGGGCACTACACCACAGACATGTGCCACCCTATCCATGGATGGGTACGTGCCGATGACACTAAACTCAAAAGTGTTCCTGTCAACCATGTACTCAAGCCAATACAAGGCAAGGATCCGTATCTGTTGTACTACTGTAGGACAGATCAGATGGCCTAAAGATGTTGCATGCCAATGACAGTCTATCAATGGACTGCTACTGTTTTTACTATTTGGTGTGCATTATAGAAAGAATATGTATTAACAGGTAATGTCATGAATCCTCGTCCATGCAGATGGCTAATAGATCCAAAGATTAAGCCTTCATAAGTATCCTCTTGGCCTGGTGGCAGCATGCTTGCAAGATTGCAACATAAAGACATAAATATAGCAACAACATCATGGCATCGTTATGGTGTCTTATTACAATATGTTGTTATATAATGCTGCAAGCCAAAAATTGTTTTGGGATAACCTGTACAGCCACATACACATAGCCAAAAACCCTTCAAAATTCAATACACTAAAGATATAATTTTTTGTGAAATATATTTTCTATTTTTCATTCCCATATCCCTGATTCGGACCTTGTGGCTTAAATCAAAATTGGATTGAGTGTGCAATCCTAAATAACAGTATCTGTTTCCCAAAAGGTGGAAATATATTTACTATATACTGCTGTATTTGCCATCCAGCATGGCATAAGAAGTATTTCACATGGCCTGTTGATGCATGTTGCTATTAGAGTGAAAGTTGAAACTAGTTCTCATTTCAAACTTACCACACTGACCTGAGCTAGTTAATCAAAACATAGAATATCATGAGCAAGTGGCGTCAAGGGACCTAATTTATATGACAATGGACATGCCCCCTCAGTAGTGCAGGTCTGTGTGTGAGACTCAAACAGAAAGGATATATATCAAAACCTATGAAGACTATCTTAGTTTAATAGTTAGTTTTTGGACACATTCTATTGGTTATTTACTTCATAGTTGATACCAGCAGCAAACAATACGAATTTGACTATTACAAGATGTCACAGTCATTTTTGAATCTCACCAATCCCGCAAGGGAGAAGATAGCCCCCCCACCCCCTCCCCACAAGGAAATGTTACTGAATGAATGAATAGTGTATTTATACCTGGAACTATCTGGAAAACTGGAAAAGGGGATGTATGCAAAGGCTTTTGCAAGGTTTTCCTTTGTATGACATAGGGATTGGAAGGTGGAAATGAGTGGGGGGAGGGGGAGGGGAAGATTAAGTATGAAATTTATCTAAGATTTTCCGATCCCCTAGGATATCATAATGACCAATCACAAGCCTGGTAACGTAGGCTAACATTCAAGTTGTTTGCTGCTGGAGAGGTACATGAGCATTGAATTGTATCCTGGCAATTTGTGTTATTTAGTACAAATAACTTGTCAAAATTCCTGTGGTTTTATCACAGGCAACCCATACACAGAAATGTATGAGTAAGAAAGTGTAAAGGACGATTTACACGGTACGATTTTTCTTCGCGCGCAACATGCCGACGACACGAATTACTTCGTGTAAAGCGACCGTAAAATCTGCTTCCGACTGTGAATGGCAGACAGCTAAAACGTGGCGTAAGCATGTTGCGCGCGACAGTTGTGAGGAAAAATCGTATGTGTAAATCGGTTATAAAGATATTAGAAATGGTAAAAACTCGAAAGGATGCTACAAAGTAAAAGTCAAGAGTATGGTTCTCAAAGTGGGGATGATCCACTTTGAAATCTTACTTTAGAGCAGGGAGCACCTCCCTGTTTAGAACATCCATTCTCATCCGTGCCTATTAGAAATGCGGGTTCGAGCGTTATGCTGGTGTAGGACTGTTATAAACAAAATTGGTGTAAACGTGTAAAGTAATTTAAAAAGAGTGCAACTTGGTAAATCTTAGTAAAGATAGAAGACTGAAAACACCGGTGGCCCACCGGTTGATAAACGTTTCAACTCACCCATGAAAAAAAATCTGTTGGGCTACCTGTGCTGGAATGAGTTATTTCATTACCGTTCGCAGACTGAATGTTTATGAAAGAAGTAGCTTAATTGTTATTCGTGAGTGTCGCATACGATTATATGCAAGTCGTTATCAGGAACGAACAAACGTTCCGGTGGAAAGTGTTTGAGTCCTCGGCACATAAATTACCACCAGCATCAGACCATTTCATCTACACTGTCTATTCTACGATGTAGAGTACGAGCTATGTTGTTTAAAAAAAATAGAACAACAATGGAACGCGTGCTTTGATAAACTTTTTCTACCAAAACGAACAGAAACGACAAAAATAAACGTTGAAAATCCATGTTGTCTTTGTATTTGTATAGGAAATATCTATTAATTCCAAATTGTACGAGAAGATCGTGCGATTTTTTGTTTATAGTTCACTCAACAAAATTTCAGTAAAAAATGCGAAGCGACGCCGTTCATCTTTGTCTATGACTTTCAGTCCATCGCGCAACTGAAATGCATGAAAAAGATAGAAAATAATTGTTTTGGCCRTGTTGCCATAGCGACTTAATTCGGTACTCCTGCGAAGTACTATTAACGCTATAATTGTTCTCCTCTCGACCAATCAGAGTCGAGTAATTTTGTTGAGTTTACTATAAGTGAAAGTAACTGGTGACGTCATGCACAAACGAAAATAACAATTAAATCTATTGAAACCTAACCAAACCCAAGAAAGAAATAACGGTGCTGTTGTTAAAAAATAACTTGATACACTATCCGCTTTCTGTTTTATATTGCTACAATGCCCCAAAACTGGGAAAATAAAAACCTATTCGGGTCGCAAAGCATAGAAAGAACCGTTGAAATCAGCTAGAAAAAAGATTTGCTTCAAGGAAAATCCTCTTAATGAAACGTATAGGAAAATTGACTGATCTGAGCACACTACAACGAGTGAAATAACATTTCACGTGCGGAAAGCCATTAGAGTGCAAGAACACTGTTGAAGTGCAAGAAACCATTAAAGTGAAAAAAAACCATTAAAGTGCAAGAAAACCATCAAAGTGCAAGAAAACCATCAAAGTGCAAGAACACCATTATAAAGTTCACATGGTGCAAAAAAGCATTAGCGCGCAGAAATAACCCGCAGTTTCTCCATTCAAAAGCCACGATAACGAGCTCGTTTAACGCTATAATCCCTTTTTAAACCATTAATAGATTTGGGGCGGTTATCTTTCAGTTCGAAACGTCTGGATGATTCCAGTAACCTGTACAAGTACGTACGTACAAGCCATTATTTTATTCCTTGGCGCGCCACAATGACAAATGAATGACCCATTTAGCTTTTGTCACCTTTATTCATTAAAATTTGATGGCCTTTCTTTTCAAAGGTGATTTAAAGTGATCTTCATTGTCTTCCATTTTCGAATAAGAAAAGACAACAAATGACACTATGAAAGAAAATTTTCGCGGGAATTCTTAGTTGTCAAGACAACCTTTTTTCGATCGACCAAGCTGGTGGATACTAGCAGAAACTGGCAGGTCCAATACAGCCCATTTTCCAAGATCAACAACTGATACAGACTCGAATGTCTTTGTCCTTACATAGGGATTAGAAGCAGAATCGAATTTTTTACGGTATTTAACCAGTATATCCAGTGTTCCGTTCAACAGGTTTTTTGCGTTGACAGCTTCCGTTCTGGTTTTGTGGCAAATCCACCAGCAAAACAGACAGTTAACAGCATTTTATAGAATCAAACATTTGCTTTTGACACGCGCAGTTTATTTTCTGTCATATATCTCATGTCAGAACAATAATGACTTTCAATATTTACTTCAAATGATCAAAATGAAGCCATCAATAAATCAAAAGGCTTAAAATGCTTTGAATGAAACTTTTGAAAGCTACGATTGGTGTCAGAAGTAAACGGTCCTCACTAATTGCAAATACCCGATTGACCAAAAAGAGTTATTTTTCAACGTATATTTAATTTTTTTATAGCGAGATACGGCAGTCTTCTATCTGATATACTTAAGAAACCCATGCAATTTACAGCTTACTAGTGCTTTAAATAGAACCATAAGTGAAAAGCTTAGACCAACGCAATGAAAATAGACAGCTGCAGCTTTTACTTACGCATCAACGTTTCAAATATATGTATATATATATATATATCAGATATTGATCAAATAGCTTCTCAGCAAGAATTTTCACTAATAAAACTGCTTTTTGGACACTTAATTAAGATTTAAATTTGTAATATTTTCATTTTCTATACAGCTTATTGACCATGACGAAGATATATAGTTAACACACAACCGGATTTTCCCCCGCGATGTTTATTGATTTACTCTTTTTACCTATTATAGCTCATTATTTTATATCTTTTGAAAGTCAAGTATCTATTTTACTATGGTGACGGCTTGATGCTGACGTGAAAATCGCATACATACCCGATAATAATACTTCGAAGTTATCCTCATCGTTTTCATTTAATTCTATAGACTTTAGACTACAGCTAAAGATAGGACACTTTTTGAATTTGAAATTGGTTGCGGTTCAGAATTGGAGGTTGTAGATTGAAGGATCTGTTTATCCCAGAGGTATTTCTGACCTCGTAGCTTTAAAATTGTATCAATGAAGTGTCGGCGAACAGAGATGGGGTCGTATTCATGTCGGCCGTGTGGATTATGGCATTCATCCCGCACACAGCCACAAGGAAAATTATCTCTATCAACTTGGCAATTGATTCCATTCAAAGAGCAACTACATGTCTGAGGATCACAATATTCCTTACAATCACATCCACATATCTGGCGAGAGAATCGAATTTGCATACACTCCATCGCTTCTTGTTTATCAATTTTTTTAACACCAGCATCTTTTAATATAGCTTTCCGAGTTTTTTGCGGGATGGGCATAAATAAGCTCGAGTCTTCATCCTCATCTTCATCCTCGTCGTCTTCCTCGCTGTCACTCGAACAACAGAATTCTAAGCTGTCTTCTTGGTCGCTGAACTTCAAGTGTTCAACATAGGTGTGTTTTCTCTTCATCCCTAGGGTATATCCACCGTTCGAAGGCACGCAACTGCTTCCCTGTGTACGCGGGAAATGAAATACAATTCTTTTGTCAAACCGAACACGCTTCCCTGCTTTAGATGAAGTCGAATCGCCACTATCCGAGCTTTCTGTACTGTCTACGCTGTGAGAATCATCCTCGAATTTCCGCTTCGACATTTTCGACTTTTTTCTCCTTTGCGTCCAGCTTTTCTTGTCTTATAGCGGTATTATTATAATCATTCGCTATAAACAGGTGCAAAGGCAGAGCCGCTTTTTGATTGGCTTAAGAACAGCTTTGTTTTCCAATGCAATGATTGGTTTAAAGACAAAAGCTACATATCTTATTCATTGAAGATTGGCTAATAGATGAAAGGGAATTGATGATCATTGGGCAATTTATCTAGATTATTTGATATAAGCATTAAGAATAAATTGCCACGTTGGAACACGTGGTTTACATACGTAATCGTTTGACTAGACTGACCTGTGTTTTTGATTATTACGCGGTGAATACACCTTGTACAATATTTTAAATATATACCACTAAATCTTCAGTTGTACGAAAAAATCTTCTTATGGCTATAAAACTTAAATTAATAGCCTTAAAAGATATAATAAATAGGAGAAATAAGCTGGAAAAACCAAATTTTCTTTGCGTGTAAACATTTCATTTTATCCGGCTTAGACCTCGTGTTTTACACAATGAACGTGTTTTGAGATGACGTCAAGTTTAAAGAACTTGCCAGAAACACAGGTAACCCAACATTAGAAAATGTTAATTGTTTACTGAAAACTGCTTAGAGTGAATTTTAGTCATATAACCGCAAAGTAACATCAGTATATAATTCTATAAAATATCTTCAGATTCAATTGACAAGGTGAAAATCCTGACACTTCCGAATATGTGTTTTTTGTGTGTAGAATCTCTGACCATTTTTTTAGCCATCAAATAGGTCTTTCCTTCTTTCCTAATGATTATTGCCTATTGTGGTTCGATGACTTTAAGCTGGCTTTTGATACGATCGTCATTGCCCACAATTAATTGACGACATAAGGATGGGGGCATAAATAAAAATAACCACTTCTCATCTTGGAAACTGCGCCGCAGCATCATCATAAGCAGTCGCCGCTCCAACATACGTCGCAAATCTAGCGTATTTCAGCTGTTGCTGAAAAATTATCTAAGTGAGCCACGTTTCCTTTTCTTTCCCCATTCCGTTTTTATAAATTCCTTTTTCCCCTTTCTTTCCCTTTCATCATTCTTCAATCAACTTTCCTCGTGAAATTTGAACAGATTCTACTTTGCCAACGTTTTTTCCCCTGACCAACCGGTACGTTTAATTTCCCACCTAGTCGCACTTATTACAACCATGAAGCTATAAAAAAGCATTTTATTGAGCATTAAGCAAAACGAATTCAATTTATATCTAAAACACCTATCGCAGCACTCAAAAATATGTACTAATTTGTTTATATCAAAATGAAATATTTATAAATATCAAGTTACATTTAAACATAGCTTATTTACAATACAATTCAGTTTCCAATTAATTTGATCTCCTGATTCGATCCATCATTAGAGATTCCACACGATGGACGTGATTGGCTAATTTGGCATTGCAGTCATAGCTAGTCCCATGGCCAATCCGAAAGCAAGACCAAATCCATATCTTACAACTTTCTTGATCATCACCATTGTTCCACTGTACTTGGGTGTGCTACAAGGCGGGTCTTGGATGTCAAGTTTAACTTTCAAGTAATTAACTTGCTCGTTTAACCACTTAACGTCTCTTCTGTTGGAGTCATTCCAGCTTATGAACGTGTTCTTCCATTCGTATTCTCTCTGTTCTCTGCTGATCTTGTTGTCACGTTCTTTGAGAACCTCATCAATGTTGTCCATGGCTCTTTCATAGACATCTTTTGCTTCTTTAATTTGGTTCGTTAGACCGTAAGTTTTTTCTTGAGCAATAACCAAGTCGTTTTCAATCTTACGCAGTTTGGCGTTAAGTTGTTTCTTTGAGTCTTTACGAGCAGATGCCATTTTTTTCAGTTTGAAAAGGGAATGTATACTTCGAGTTTCTTTCTTTCACTTTTTGTAGTCTGAATGAATGAGATCTTTGCGAATGTTCATTGTGACATCAGAGCGCGCACTCGTTTTTGTTGATGAAAGAGCGCGCGCATTTACTATCGATGAGGACATCAATACCGGAGCGCGCGCACTTTCCAGAATGGATAAATACGAATTGCGTGAACTCATTTCAACTGGAACATAATTGCGCGGCGATCGCACTATACCACGTGAGTGTGCGAAAGTGCGCATCCTCATCCAAAACGCGCAAGTTTAAACTATCTTCAAACTAATAATGAATTTATTTGAACACTTTTATTGTCTAAATACATTTGTTTACATATCGAAGTCCTTTTAAATAATTTTATGAGGCAACACTGTCGCATATATTTTTTGTTTGCACATCAGCTCCTCGATAACTTTTTCTATAACTTGCCCTATTTACATTCTTTATAAAATACTTTTTCTTTCGTTTTTTCCCTCTATCGAATATGCGATATACTAGTGTATCTACATGGAATTTTCCATGTTGGGATATTAAATGGTGTGCTACTGACGAGAAGGCACTGCACATCTATTTTACCCCACACCATATACAACGGTGTAGACTATATACAACTGATTGGATGTATTTTCTATGGCGTTGGATAAAAATGATTATGTTGTATCTCTTGCTGAACAGTGAGCTGAAAATTTATATAGGTGAAGTATTAATTTAATATCTCGTGTGACAATAAGAAAAGCAATGGAAGGAATGAAGAAAGTATGAGAAGGATAGGGGGATAATTATAGTGAGGCAGACAGGCCGAACATTCAAGTGAGTTCTGATAACCAGCTAAAGGGTACCCACATAGAATTGAATTTCTTCACTTACCAATAAAAGATGACACGTCATCAGAGCCTTTGTTTTTCCTTAGCTTTCCTGTGATTTCCTTATTTTGGACGATTGGTAAGAAAAGCTGAACAAATTCAGGTGAATACGGCGGGGCAATCATTTCAAGTACCTGAAAAAAGAGAATGTTATTATGTTGATATTAAAAAGTTGACTGAACTGCAATTTCTTGCAAAGTGCACTCTTAATGAAATTAGACATACAGTTAGATCCATAACCTAAAGTTTATTCACAAACGTTGGTATAAAACAGCGAAACAATTTTCTCTACTGGAGGGCAGACCTGTCACTTGTAGATTTGTACAGTAGAATCAAAGAGTGTTTTCCTAATGTATTGAGCAGAAAACATATGGTTTGCCTTACAGCACGTACACGGTAAGACATGCCATAATAGTGGAATGGCTCAACAATTGTCTTTTAGGCATTCATTTAAACACAAAGCGTAGTTACAGTTACAGTAAGATATGGTACACCTACAGTACTACAAATTTGCCGTATCGTTTCCCACTCATACGTAAACCGCTCTAGCATCATAGGTAATCTTTACTCATAGCAGCTATACAGTTTTCTTCTAAAAAAAACCTTGCTAAGGTTTCTAGCTGACTATTTCTAGTCAGAATACATACCTCTGTGACAAAATGCCTAATGAGGGAGTTGTCTACGATTTGTCCTTTCATGCACTTGTGTATGTAGCTTAATACAGAAATGACGTAACCACGGCTAAGCATGTGTACCATTCGATCAAGGACTGTCTTCTTGAACTCAAGCTAAAATATCAATTACAATCAGTTGAGTAAATAATGTGCTTGCCCAAATCTTATAATGCCTAAAATAAGATATTCAATATATTTTTCATAAGCAACACTCCTCATAAGGGGCTTTTGTGTGAAGTTTGCTCCCCACACAATTGTTGATTTTTACAGAGGGAAGAAAATTGGATTCATTAGCTAAAAGAAAACCCCTTGTGGCTAGGGAGAGACCACATCAAGCAAACTGAAGTCACAAGTGAGCACATGCCACCCAATTATGTCAGCAAGCGCATGCAACCCCTGCTATTCATTTAACAAAACCATCTGCCTTACCTCAACTAGAGTATCCAAAGGGGTTGGAGACTCAAATAAACGAATCAATAAATTAAGCACCAAACGATGCTGTGGAGGATGGCAAGTGACGAGCTGCAAAATCGAAATAGCAGATTTAAATAATTACAAAAATTGCATCAGCAACAAATGTGTAGATACCATGGGGTCCAGAGGTTATTAATTTTGTTCTCACTCTGGAGCTTGCTGTTAGGGGCGTAACCAGGATTTTGCCTTGTGGGGTGGGGGAGGGGGACCATTTGCAGAACATTGGTAAGTCAAACTTATCATGTGACTACATAGATGTTTTGATTTCTACACCATGAGGGGTCACTTGCCCCCCCCCCCCCCCCCCCCCCCCCCCCCCCCCCCCCCCCCCACCGGCTATGCCCCTGCATAAGTCACTAGGAGAATCAAACCTCCGAGTCCACTTACCTGAAGTAAGATAGAAACTCTAGAGCCCAGGGTAACCTAGATACAGAGCATTCCATATAAAAAAACAGTCACATACCTCATCAAGCATGGATAGATGAACTGGGGTTGAGTCTGTCATAAGCTTGAAGAATGATGGATCATTAACAGTGCAGTCGACCCACTTTAGTATTCCCATAGCAACTACTGGATATCTGGAAAACATAGCAACTTTATAAAATAAAAATAAAAATGTTTTAACATTACAAATTATTTAATTGTTGAATTGGGTGGAACAGTGACCAACAGGGTGAGAGCTGCTTTATGTATACACCTAATTGAAAAAACATTGTCGGGTTTAAAAAAAGGTTATATCATCAAAGCTAGGACCGAAGGGGAGCACTGGAAGGCAAAATACCACAGCCTAACAACTCTTCAGCGTAAATCTTTGGAGAATGGCTTTGGCATGTTAATCTAGGTCAACCGAATTTGCTCTACTGTGCATTTTTACATGCCTATATGCAAATATAGTACACATTTCGGAGTAACCAAAATCCTTTTCGGTCTTAGCTTCAATGATATGACCTTCTCAAACCCGACAACGTTTTTTCAATTAGGTGTATATGATTTAGCAGTTACTTACCGAATGCACTGGAAGAGAGTGCCCACTTCAGAGGATAAGTGAGACGAACCACTGCTTTCTTGCATACACATGTTATGCACTTTATCTATTGCCTGTGATGTTGCCTTTAGCTCATCTATGTTCAGTGACACTCTTTCATTCTTTAGAAGATAAAAAAATCGTGATTTTTTAATTTTCTATTAGAATGAATGCAATAATGGTTGCCATTATTTAAAAATAAGTATAACTATCACACTATTGCACTTTTTCATTTTAAAATAAATTTATGTTGAGCTACAAATATTTCTCATGGTGTAGTTTTTCATGATGGACATAAATTTATATCAATCAATAAAATTCAAAAGCATCTCAAACATCTATATATTTGAAACAGCCATGATATCATTGAGTTCATGAAACTGTACATCCCTAGTTACTTTTACTTTGAAATCCAACCAAATTGTCCAAAAATCCATTTTCATAATAAATAAGAGATAGTCAAAAGAGCAATTATAACTTTTAACTTGTTTATGGATTTTTATTGGGAAGTCTTATGCATTCATTCATTCAAACAATTCAGTCACTAAAAAGTGGAATGAATTCTATACACCCCAGTTTGATAGTCTTACCTCCTGCCATGTTTCATGAACACATACAGCATAGGCAAGTAAATAAATGTATTTAAACTTGTGCTCTCTGTTGATTTGCTGGTTTGGTTTAAAGAGTGCATCAATTAGAAGATCTGGAATAAATAAAATGAGAAGGTCAAGAGGGGAAAGAAAATAATACAAAATACAGTAAACAGCTTAAATAAAAAAATGAAGAAATTCTCACCTAGAAATTGTGGGATTCTTAAGAGTTCACAAGGAGGGGGTTGCTCATTGTTGTAAAGCTTGTATAACTGTAAATGTTAGGGTGGAAAATATAAAATGGCAAGTTAGCAACAGGAAGACAGTCAAGGACTGCATTTTATAAGACATTGGTCCAGCTATAGTTGGAAAATATATTGAGGACTGAACTTGGTAGAAGTCACAAAGCCACCAATAATTATTATAAACCCAAGAAGAGATAACTAGCTAAAAACTAGTGTGAGCTACATCAGTGTTCCTAATGAAACAGTAATGATAATGATAGTAATGATACCTTTTTATCATTACAATATAAACCCACATAATTGGTGACTCCAAATTGCAATAAGTTTTGTATCACAATTCTCCTATGGTGTGGTAAATCTGAGCTGACAATACTCATTAATGATTCTCTCTCAAACAAACTTATAGGAGAATAAAATTGAGATACTAGAATTATTACGACATAGAGAAAAAATGATGAAAATATAAATGTGATCCTTATCAGTATTCATAAGAATAATCACGTTGAATGTCCTCCTATATGTGGACAACTTACCACCGTGATGTCGCCAGGATTAAGAGTATTCTTCCCCAACATTGATGAAAGAGCTGAACACACTCTTGGGAATGAAGGAGCTCCATTGAGACATAATGTAATCTGTGTAACATCTCGACCACTATATGATACAACAGAAAAATAAAGAATTATTAATCTCTCTCCATTCAAATAGTCAATTAACCATAAGGCTGTAACAAAATACCTTGAAATTGAAGTCAAAAATCTTGTTTATAAATCTCTTTGTACTAAAAATACTTTTAAATGTTCCTGGCTCTTTAATTTCAAAATTCTTACCTTTCAATTGCCTTCTTTCTTACTTCTTGGCAAATTCTTTTCACCATTATCCCTCCACGCTCTTCCTGTGCTACAGCATTCAACAGACATTGTGCATACAAGTATGTGTGCTGACCATGGTTTACCATTTTCTGGTTTAAGGATAGAATGCAACCGTTAGTTATCTTCATTGGAAATAACTCCAAAAAAATCAACTTAAATTCCAATTGGAATTAATTGGTTGAAAATTAAGCTACTCCTGTTAAAAAATCTCATATTTATTTACATGCATTTTCTTTAGTAGTATTTAGGTATAATCATATAACAAGAGCAAAGCCTTACTGCAAATTCAGGCATATTTGTTTCCATAGCCATTTCTCCTTCCTCAATAAATCCATTAACTGATGTCTTTAGAACCCTTGAGAATACTTCTATTTGATGGCAAGCTGTAGAAACACTGGTGATTTCTCCTTGATATCCAGCATCAGATATGAGCTGAGAAAAAATCATTGCAAGACTAAGCACAACAAATTTTCATATTTGTTATTTGCTAGTTAGTATTGCACACATTTAGACAAGAAAAATAGAATAAAGGAGGATTATGAAACAGTTGAATGAGATTATTATCATGCTAGAGAAATCATGCTAGATAAATCATTCTTGAGAAATCTCATTGATGGCCTTTGCACCAATCCACAGGAACATTATTATGTAGTCCAAATTGGAATTCAAAATGGGCTAGTTGTACAAGTAAATGGGCCTATTCATTATCTGTATGAAACTGTTATAAAATAATGTAATTGGTAAATAGACATTGATCAACAGAGGCAATTTAACAGATGGAGAATGATTTCAAAGACAAGATTGACCTAATTTAAAATGGTTACAGCATACTATGAACAAGACACAGGTAGTCCATCTCACTAAATCCATCCCAAATACTCACCTTGATAGTAAAGTTAAGCATAAGACAGTCAGGATATTGTTCAGCCAATTTATAAAACATTGATCTCCATGTGGGATGAACAATCATACTTTCTAGCCATGGTGGGGTCTGGAGGGATTCAAAATATGACGCACATAGTTAATACAAACCTGTCCTAATTCTTGTAAACATTACTAAGCATATGCAATCTTTTCTTAGCCACAAATCATTTAAAGGTTGCTGAAAACATGAAGAAAGAAATGCAGACTAAAAGTTTGATGTTTGTCTGCAAAGTCGTAGACATTGGAGGCATGTTTTTTCTGGCATGAAAACCCAGATTGATGACATGAGTAGTAACATTTTTAATTTTCCAGTAAAGATATAAAAAACCTTTTAAACAATAATCTGGCAAACATATACATATTACCTCTCCTGCCTCAGTAAAAATAGAATCTGCTCTTTTTGGATCAAAATGCTTGATAATTAGCATCTTAAGGTGATCTTCTACCATTTGCTCCACCTCATGCACATCAGCACCTATCAAAATTGGAATATATTTATTATCATTCATAATAACTGTTCTAAATTTTGCGTTCTTATTGGTGGGGAGTGTGTGCTTAATGAGAGCACACAGCATGCATGTGCAATTTTAATTTTTGTCATTCCTGTAATTTGTATCCATAAAAGAAAAAAAATTGATTGCTGTGCTGTGTGGAGGTATAAAGCACTTGGGGATTGATAGAACACTAGAGAAGCATTGAGAAGCTCTCCCCTACTCATCGTGCTTCTCCTAAGTCTCACTTCTCTCATGTGTTCCCTGTGTTCTTTATAACTGCACACAGCATGCATGCACATTTTCTATTTCTTCAGTACATATCAACAAAAGTGACCTTTTGCAAATTAACGTAATAAAAAACAGTAGCAGTCTTCTTTTGCATGTAATGTCATCATAGCCATGATAATGGTGGTAAACTATTACATATCTCAAACATATCTCATCAATACACCGAAACATAGCCACCATAAGTTTGTCATTTGACTGTTTTGAGACATTGTATATACTAGATTTTACCTGTAAGAATTAACCAGTTGGCTAAAAGATTTGCACTCTGTGCAATCCCTCTGTAATTTTCTGATAAAAGCTTGATAAGCTCTTCATGAGATCCAGCATTTAATAGGTACCTAACAAATACAACAGTACTCGGTTGGTACAGTAGATAAAACTCAGTAGAATCTGAGACATACAAATTGTAGTTAGAGATTGTACCTTCTGATGTGGGAAAACACATCAGGCTCCATGACAAAATCCTTGGTGGCAAATATATGCTCCAAGTCCTGAAACGATGTATCATGGTCTCGCCTTTCGTCTGTTGGACTAAGAGGCTAAGAATGAGGAAATAAAAACATCGTTACTTAAAGATTTAATAAGATCAATGGTCATGCATCTTTTTCAAAGTCAACTATCTAATTCATAAAACAAATTAGAAATGACCGTATTTGACTCACTGCAGCCTCTTCCCAGCCATTTTCTGCACCATAATCATCCATGTTATTAAATCTACGACCAGCTTATAATAATGTCCTCGATCACAGTACAGATTTTATTTTTTCTAGTTCAAAACATTTTCTTTTCATCTTTTCGAATCAGCTTTTTTGCTACTAGCGCCCGCGATACTATGTGTTCAGCGTAATGAGTATGGAATTGTGGGAAATATTACCCAGCTTTCACTGCGGGTGCAGCACAGTTTTGTGACGTCATCTCTTGGTATTGCTAAATGACGTAAAATACTAGAGGAGGTGTTGACCAATCAGAGAGGGTTTTAAAATGACGTAGGAGGAAGGCGCGAAGTATTGCATAAGATGGAGTGGACTTTGATCCCACCATTACGTCGCACACATGAGCTACACACTCTAAACTAACGTGCAATCTGCTAAAGGTTTATCTAAGATTCAGGAGAAAAGGGTTTTTCAGGGCTGTGGAATATCAGAATGAAGCTCTGGTCATCACAACATGTTTTCCAGTGAGTAAAAAATGATTTTTTTTCGCAAATAATTGCGATCTGTCATAGACAGGGCTTACGCATGGCTGAATACATCGATCTGTTGCGAACAAACCAGACTTTTTATTCCTTTATCTCAATTCACACTTTATCATCATTGTTTTCTTATTTCCTAATTTTACACTTAACAATTTCTAATTCAGAATGGCTATTTTTAATCGTGGGCTTGTGATAAATACGCACAATTATCAAGCGTATTGAATATGGCCCTTGTCCATTTCACGTCCACCTTTATGGTTTCAACATGTAATCCTGACTTCTTTAGTTACGTAACAACGAGATGATCTTCTTTTTTGAGTAAAAGTTATATAGTTTAATTGCTATCTGGGAAATAATACACTTCGTTCGTCTGCTTTTACATCCGTTGCAGGGCATTATACTTTACTTTTGTCCTTGGGTCAAACCTCCTTCGTTACGTATCACATCTAAACTTCTGAAACCATCGAGTCTAAGAGTTATTTCTTATATTCTTGATAGAATGTCACAAATTATATTTTTTGATATTTTAAAAGTGAATAGTACACTTTCTATTGACTTCCCCATCACTTCAACTAATAATTATTATTGACTCATATTAGAGAAGGTTTGTTGAAAATACTGATAGAGAATTACTAATTTTATTTATACAGACATTGTTGGGAAAAGGTTACCCAAGCAGCATGGCGGAAGTACCCAAACGAACTTAACCCAGGTGTCAAAACTATAGACATACTCGACAGATATGTTGACAGCGAAGGAAAACTACATACTAAGCGTTTAATAGGCACAGATGGTTTTTTACCTGGCTGGGTAAATAGAATGTTTGGTTTAGATGACTTGGCTTATGCAGTAGAGGAATCTGTGGTGGATCCCAATAACAAGACCATGTCATTACACAGTAAAAATTGGTCGTTGTCAAATTGGTGTACAGTAGAGGAAACATTAGTGTATTCTCAACATCCTGAAAAAACAGATGTGTAAGTATACTTTAGTCATTCTTTGACTCCATACAAAGTGGCAAAGCAAGAATCCCCATCATACTTCACACTGAATTTTTTTACAAAAATCTCGCTTCACAGACCCATCATGTACAACACATAATGTCACAATGTGCAATCACACATCCTACAGCTTATTTGAGAATGTAATCACAAATACTGCAGCTAATTTTTTGGCTGCTACTATGCATCATTTAGAAACTCTTTGCCACTTAATTCATGCTGCAATGAAAATTGATAGCAAAAAAGGGGTTTCATGTCAGTTTTAATGTCATGCATGAAAAAAAAACCCTACTTTTTTGATGGACTAATCAGTGGAGATAAAAATTGTAAAAAAACTTGGCAGTGTTTAGTGTAATTAACTTTAAAAAGTGTCAGGTTTCCGCAGATAACATGGGCCCTCCTCTTCATAGTTTACAATATCATGTTCAACCACATCCAATAATTATTGCTCTATTATACATTTTATTAATTAAGAAAGCTACCAAGCTAAAGACAACATGATGAATAAGCAAACAATATGAAAGCCATCTTGATTCAAGTGGCAAAGCTACCACATGTAGTGACATTGAGTGAACTTGACAGGATAAATCTTTTATCTGCAATTTTTTTTGTGGATAATTGATTTTTCTGGGAGTTCGGCGCTAATGAAAATTGTTTGAAGTTTTCAGTCAATCAGAATTGAAATAGTGAGTAAAATGTATAATAACAATACTTATATATAAATTATTATGAATTCATATGTATTGAATTGGAGCTTCTTCTATTGCAGAACGAATCTCGATCAAGAAGCTGTAATCAAAGTCTTCGGAATCAGTTTTGGAGATCACTTTGAGAGCTTGATCAAGAATGCTATGGCTAATAATGCTGGAAAGGTAAAAAATACAGACAAATCATTCATTTATTATAGGCATTATCCATCAAATATGCATTTGAAAATGCTGTATGTCATTGTCCAGTCAAAGAAAGTTGAAGTTAATCCTGCAGCAGTGATGGAATACATTTAGGGTTTCCAAATGTTCTTTGCCTGATGTTGAAATTGTTTTTTGATTGTTTAATCTAGGGAAGACAAGCAATGGAGAATGTTATTGCTATAATTAACAAAGAGGTTCAAGATATTGCAACAAACTTGGAACAAGCTACAGTACGGATCAACTCAGAGTTAGAGCAAGCAAAACAAGGACTTGAACAAGCAGCTAGATTACCTCAGGCTATGTGTGAAGGGAAATCATGATAGTTGTGGTACAGCAAAGCAATAATCTGGTAATAATATAAGGGTGGTTAATAATGGTAATACCATCAATGCATTGATGGAAACATTGCATTGGAGTGGCTGATACTGGTCAAGGAAATGGATCAAGGAAGATGAAAGAAAAAACAAGGAAAATGTGAAGGTCAAGGAATGTAGAAGATAGAAATGTGAAGATATGGGTGTGATGGAATCTTGCACAAGATGAATTTGGTTGGAAAATCTTGATTTCAACATACCCAAGATTTCCCATAAGATGTCAAATTGAACGTCAGTTAAATTGGTTTAGTAAGAACCTTTCATTATCAGTTCATTGACGAGGTTGAAGTTTGAAAGAAGGATATTAAACAAATAAATTTAAAACTTAGTCAGCTTGTATGAAATTAAAATACAATTTGTTTTTGGTAGTTTGAAACCATTTCAACAATTCCCTTAGTGTTCTTACATTACTATAATACACTTAACAAAATTACTCAATTCTGATTGGAGAAGAGGAGTACAATTAAATCCCAAATTGTTCTTTTTAGAGTCCCAATTAAGTTGCTAGATTTTGTTGAGTGTATCATAAACAAAAAATGGCACAATTTTCTCATACGAAATTTATAGATGCTCATGATGTTTTGAAAGTTCTCAATTGGACGTTCAATTTTGAAAACTTTCAAAACATCACTTGTACCTATAAATTCCAAATTGTACTCAAAATTGTGCGATTTTTCTATACAAATTTGACCATTGAATTAAGCATGAATAAGGAGATTCTTTTGTGAGTTAAAAAGTTAAGAGGTTTCAAAGCTGCCATGTTGGCCAGGAGCAATGTATGTTAATTTTTTTCCATGAAAAGAGGCTACAATTAGAAAATTCTACTTGTCTCACAAGTGGCTGTCATGAAACCCTTTACACTAAATCTGTGGTGCAAGACCTTGTGGTACATTCTGGCAATGATTTTGAATTTTGTGACAAATATCTGGTATATTTTGATAAATGAGAATCTGAATCTACTGCCTTGTGCCCCACATAGTATTGCATTTTGGGCAGTTAACCCACCAGAGAAGAGTGGAAGAAATCATACAAAATCTGAAAATAGATTGAGTGACTTGGTTGCTGTTGTTTTGATGATTATGATAATTTAACACCACTAAACATACATTTTGAAACCCTATTACCAGTTTTTACATAAAATGGTTTTAAATAGTCAAAATTAATTTAAGCTAAAATCGATCATATAGGCAGACCATGCACCATAAACATAATTATAAAATTGTTAAGTAATGTGTTTGAATTGAAACACACACCAAACGGTTTGTATGAATTTGCATTATTGTCACAGCATTTTTAAATTAGGTATTTAAAATACTATTTATTGTTGTGAACACTGTTTTTATATTGAATAAAACAATTGGAAATTTCATGGGGAGTGCATTAATTTGATAGTCATGGGTGAAGAGAACATGCATAGTGGACATGCGAAACAAAATAAAACAAAATCACAATTTTGACCAATGTATCTCAAGACTTACTTCACTCATGTTGCAAAAGGCTTCCTAAATGTTCAATGGCAACCACAACACAATGCTTGGGACCTGAATGCATGTGAGCAGCAACAGCAACAATAATACTTATACAGGGTTCGTGCTAGGTTCCCAAGAAATTATCGAAATTATCATCGAGATGTGTGAATTTGTCATGTGATATTCACGGCACATTGAGTCACTAAGTTCTGGAAAGCAAAAGATTATAAAAAAAGATGCTTCTCCCAAGACGTAGTGAAAATCTCTAATTTTAACCAAAGACAACGACTCACGGTTTACATATCTTGAAGTTTTACTGACATTTTTTCATGGACAATTTTTTTCAAGGAGTATTCAAGGACATTTCTACTTTTTTTCAATTTTCAAGGAGTTTCAAGTGCCCTTGAAAATGCATTTTAAAATCCAGCACTTTTTAAGGAGTCCAAGGACCTGCACGAACCTTGCTTATATTTAGCACCTAATTTTGCAAAATTAAATCGGGAAGGCATAAATATAATATGACTAATTAAAAGGTGGTAATTAGTTAGTACCTTAATGTATCTATTTTTCAGGACCCTGACTGATAATGCCTAGTACAATTGATCCCATTAGTTGTGTAAAGAGTTCCACTTCTTCCTGCAGTCTTTTCAAGAGGGAGATATAGCGAGTGAGAGCAATTTGGAAGTAGCAAAATGAGCAACAAACTAAGTTTAGTTGTGTAGTTGCCTTTTTGATTCACCTTTGTTCAGCGCCTCTCCTCTTATGAAGAAATAGAAAACATGTGCACATGTTGTGTGCAGTAATAAAGCACACGGTAGTCATCAGAGCTCCGTAGTCATGGGTAGATTTCAGGAGGGGGGCAATGGCATGGGGCCATGGTCCCCTCATGGTATGCGATTCTTTTTGTTTAATTTACCTTTTTGTTTAAAATATGCCCAGAATGCAGGAAATGGCATTTCTAGGAACCATATTTTAACAATATTAAAGAGGGAAGGCCTCTTGGTTTCAATTTGCATAGTCAGAGGTGACTGATTTGTATAACTCCTAAATTTTTCAATCCCTTATTCTCAGATTTCCGAATCTGCCCGTGGTAGCAGCTAGTGGTGTTTCTCAACACTAGTCTTCTCCAGTGTTGTGCCAGTCCCAAGTGCTTTATAATTGCATGGCTTTATAACAACACAGTAAGCAAGTGTTATTCTATGGAATACAAATCATTGGATAGGAATAAAAAGTGATTGGCAAGTGCACCAAAAAATAAAGAAAAACAGAGCAAAGAAGTACTGAGTTGCTTTTTAAATATTTATTTTTAGTAGAGAATGTCTATTTACAATTATGTTAAATATGTACATAAGGAATTATTATTTCCTTTCATTTCATGTGCCTTGGCTGTCTTTTGCACGTTGGTATTTATCCATTTCTTTTGGAAAGGATTTTGTCAGTTCAGATGTCAACAGAGACTTGAAATTCTGAAATAAAAAATTTTTACATTTTATCAAGCATCAAATATAATTATGTAAGTGGTGGGCAACTATTAATTTTTTACTCTCTTTGCCATTTACAGTCAAACTACCTCAAGCATCAAACATGTACATGTACAGCTCATCAATGGATTCACTATTCAAATATTGATTTGATTCTTCGATTCAAAGATTCATTATCCATATGAAGTTTTGAGTATTCAAAAGTAACACAAATGAATAGAATAAATAAAGGTAATATGTACATGAGTAAAACCACATTTTCAATATTTTGAAAAGTTAAATAATGAATTTAATAATGAATTTTCAAATCGAAGAATCAAATCAATATTCGAAGAATGAATTCATTAATGAGCTCTACTTGTTCATGCTTGAGGTAGTTTGATTGTAATGTCTCAAAATGAGTCTGGTAGTCATTTCATGTGGTTATCACATGCAGCAGTGGTCTAACCAATATTAACATATAAAGCGAAGTCAGTATACCACACAGACTTTTTGCCCAACTAACTGAGCCAGCTTGGTCACAGTGAGACTTTCATCTCATCCTTGAGGTCAAACTGTCATTATGTGTTAATTAAAAAGTAGCAGTACAATGTATGTGCAAAATCCCTTTTTATATATGGGTAAAAATATCTGATGACATTTCCAGAAAATTAACCAGGTGAAATACAATATGTAAAATCAAATTTTATTTACCTTGAGAGAGTCTATTTTTCCCTTTACTTGTTCGTTTTTCACTAGTGCTTTTTCTAGACAGTCCTTTGTGTACAACTGTGGATTGCGACCTTGATCAATGTACCTATGTAGATGAGTATTTGTAAGTTTTAAAAATAATTAGAGCCAACAAAGACTAAACATCAATGTTGGCACTTCTATCTTTATGGATTTCAGGGACCAATATTCCTTCAGCATACATGTAGATGGGATTTTAATTCATTGCATATAACCTCTCAACAATTTACTATACTTTTGAAGGTTAAGTTAATTACCTATTAAGAAAGCAGGGATCAAACTGCTTAGCCCTACAATTCTCAAGTACAACTCACTAGCCTATATCTCACTGGGCCTCCAGTGGCAGTTCCTGGGGTGGTTCCATGGGCTCTTTACGCTCAGTAGAATGACATTGGAACCCCCCTTTGTGAAGCCAATTGCACCAGCTTTTTCATTGTGGCTGCCCTTTTGGAATCCCCCTTTTAAAATTATGGATATGCTACTGGCATCTTATGTGAAGTACACAATACTCCATTTTGCAATTCCTTTCAGTGACCACGCATAATAGTTCCAAGTTGAGGTTGGAGTTTCACCAAGGACTATCTTAATTTTATCATGCGCAGCAACTCCATCCTTGGCTTGGAACTGTTATTCATGGTAATTGAACGAAACTGTAAAATGAAGTATTGAATTAAAATTTGAAACTTATTTTTTAGGGGGGAGGGGAGGGGATGATAATTAATGGTTGCTATGATGAAATAGATTTTCACTTCTCCAGATCTAGATTTAGCAACAAAACAACATTATGAATCTTGAGTTGATGACAAAAATTATTCAACGGTGAATAACATCCATGCTACTGAATTACAATACTTACTCAAAAACTTCCAGAGGCACTTCGACATCTTTAACTAGGGCTTTACATTTTTCTATTTCCCTCATATTGTCGACCATCATGTTACTGAAAAAGATCAGTAAGAAGAGCTAAAGGTGGTTATGTTCCCCTTTAACACTTTAATTTTAAAGAATATGAAGATTTAGATATGTATAAACAATATCCTATGATAATGATTGAATAATATCTTAACACAGCGACGAACAAATAAACAAAATATGTCGACATATTTGCTAACAATCAACTATCTTTTGTTTTTGAATTTTTGAAAAATTGAAAAAAACAGTCAAACTCACATCTTTTGATTCAGTACCCCTTGACTTCCTGGTTGAAAATCACTGACGATGATGCCAATCTGTCGCGTTGATTCGACGAATTGCTCTATAGTTTGTTCAAGAAGATCAAAAGGTTCAGCTGGCTTGTCGTCCGCCATTTTGTACTAAAGCAACAAATCTTCTGGGGGTATAGGAAAGTTCCTTTTGTCATCCACAGGAATCCCAAGGTTTCGAGTCTTGTGGTGATATTCTGTACCAGACGAAAATGGCGTCGCCTGTCTTTCTTGGTTTTGACTTAAGCACGCAACAACTAAAGGCTTTAGCCATCGATAACGACCTGAATATAATACACGAGACGTCTGTGCACTTCGATAATGATTTCCCAGAGTATAAGACGCAAGGAGGAGTGCACAAACATGAAGATAACTTGACAGTGACTGCTCCTTGTTTGCTGTGGGTCCAAGCTTGGGACCTGTTGTTTGATAGAATGAAGTGTAAAGGGTTCGATTTTAAGTCTGTCGTATGTATGTCAGGCACAGGACAACAGCATGGGAGTGTTTATTGGAAGAAAGGAGCTAAGGAAGTGTTGAAGTTTCTCAAAAGTGGAGACTCTTTTTATGACCAATTGAAGGTAAGAAATTTGATCAATAAATGATTGATGATGATTGAATTACTTATTCTCCATTTGGTTTTATCGATAAAGGTTTTAGACTCCAGTTGAACTGAATTATTATATATATTAGGGACTAAGTATTGGGTCATCCTTTGATGGTGGGAGGATCGATCGAAGCCTAGGAATATTTTATCTCATAATCAGGGTTGGGGGCCCAGGGGAAGGATAGGGGAGGGGTAAACCACTACCCCCCAAAACAGTACACAATAGTCCATACTGGTTCGTAGAATATATTTTTTTGTTTATTTTAGATGTTTATGTAATTGTTAAATTACATGTAGAGGATTTTATTGTTTTTAAAGGATTGTTTTGCAGTCCTAGACTCTCCTATCTGGATGGACTCTAGTACCAGTACTCAGTGTCACTCACTCGAAAAAGCTGTCGGGGGTCCCAAGAGACTTGCTGAGATAACTGGCTCTAGGGCATATGAGCGTTTCACTGGCAACCAGGTGGCAAAGATTTTCCAAACTCAGCCTAAGGTTTACGACCAGTGTGAAAGGATATCTTTGGTTAGCAGTTTTGCTCCCAGCCTTCTGATTGGTGAATATGCACCTATCGATTACAGTGATGGGTCGGGAATGAACCTTATGAATATTGAAACTAAAGACTGGGAGGATAAATGTTTAGAGGTAAGGTAATGGAATGTTGTAAGATTTTTCTGCCTGAGCATTGATCATAAAATATCCACATCTATCCTGGAAAAAGAGTTTTGCTGTTATCGCCACTAGTTAATGTTTCCATTTTCTGTGGATACCTCACTAATTAATACCATTTGCACCAGGAGGTGGTTGTATGAAGCCCAAATAAGTTATCCACTGGATAATCACAATTCACCAGATAAAAGCACTATCCAGGGAATAGTTATCCATAGCTTTATCTAGTGGATAAAGGTCTCCTATTAGAGCTATATACTACAAAATCACACCATTTGCATTATTTTATCTGCTTGATACTGTCTATTCAGGCTTTATATATGACCAACTCCAGACATCATTCCAACATCATATATGTCATGTTAGGAAATAACATTATAGAAAGACTAAAAACTATAGTAATTGTTTCTGATTAAATTTATAATTATTATCTTTTCAAGGCCTGTGCCCCACATCTAAGACAAAAACTTGGCCCTCTTACTTCTTCCTGTTCACAAGTAGGAAATGTCTCCAAATACCTTGTGGATCGTTTTGGATTTTCTCCTGATTGTAAAGTTGTTGCTTTCACTGGTGATAACCCAGCATCCCTTGCAGGCATGAGGCTTGGTGAAGGAGACATTGCTGTTAGTCTGGGCACCAGTGATACTCTGATGTTGTGGCTGAAGACTCCTCGACCTGCTCTAGAAGGGCATATATTTGTCAACCCAGTTGATAGTAAGTGCCATGTTTTTTTCAAGGCTTGAACATTTATAAGTCATTACATGCTACATGTAAACATCACACACTGACACATAAGACATAAACATAATTATGTCTTAAGATATATCTCTTGAACGAATATTGTATTGTGCAAGATTGCATATTTTATCATGAAACCAAGCAATCATCAGTTGAGAAAACACAGCACGGTCTAAATCAATCTGAATTCTTAGTGTCATCATGCAAGGTTGTGGGACAGCACTAAGAGGGAGACTGCAGGGGAGACTAAGATTTGATGTGCAATCATGCATTATATAATAAATTGCAAATCTAATGCTTTCCTCATAGCAAATGCATACATGGCTCTACTTTGCTTCAAGAATGGCTCACTCACCAGAGAATCAATCAGAAATTCATGCTCCAATGGATCTTGGGAACAATTTGACGAGGCTCTCAACTCTACCACAACCGGTAACCATGGAAACATTGGCATATACTTTGAAGTGAAAGAAATTACTCCATTTGCTGATGGGATTCACAGGTTTTCAGAAAACAATGACAAGGTAGAGTCATTTCCAAAGGATGTGGAGATAAGAGCACTGATTGAAGGACAATTTATGGCTAAGAGAGCACATGCTGAACTTCTGGGATATAGTATTGGTAAGTCATATACATTCCTATACCTTCGGAAATTGCAGTCAGGATTCATGATTCATCATAAGTTAAAGTTGTCTCTGACTTGTGAAATTTACAATTTTTCCTATACCTTGTTCGTTCCTATTATCATGATATTGTTATGAAAACAACATTAAACTTAAAAGTATTCTGTTTTTAACACCCCAAGAAATTTCCTTTATTTCCAGAATGTTTCTAGCTTGTGTTGTTGTATTGTATCAAGGTTTCTCTTTTCTTCTTGCTTATGAAAAACCATGACACAAAATAATTTGGAGTGACTTGTGATTTTTGACCACATCACACATACATACATAGTGACCAATAAAAGGCAGTTTCTTTTATGCTTTAGCTTCATGAACAAAAGATATAACTGTAGAGATAAAAAACATTGCCAGTGACCAAACACAGTAACGACATCACATTGTGACTTCTTTATTTCATATGAATGTGAAACTGAGGTGCGAATGGATATACCATTCCTTGTCCATCATGATGTCTTGGCCTAGCGTTTTACTTTGAAAAAGCAGTGAGGTCACTCAGTATTAAATGGTCATCCAAAAGAAATCATCATACCATGATCATGTGTCATCTGTCCTGCCGTTCATGGACACGCAGGTACTGCATGGCACCCTCAGAAAATGGATGGAGTTTCTAAAGCTAACAGTACCATCCTTGACAACCAGTCACTGATTTGTAACCTTGTTTTTCAAAGGTCCTGGGTCAAGAGTTCTTGCAACAGGAGGAGCATCTTCAAACAAATCCATCCTTCAAGTGCTTGCCGATGTGTTCAATGCCCCTGTTTATACCATTAAAGACACGGCTAATTCAGCTTGCTTGGGGTGTGCATACCGTGCCAAACATGGATGGCTTGGACCTGATCACTCCTTCAAGGAAGCAGTCTCTAATGCGCCAGCCTACCAACTGGCAGTCAAGCCAAGAGCAGACGCACATGAGATATACACTCCTTTAACTTCTAGATACATTGCCTTGGAAAGAAGTATTACTACAGAATCGTAGATTAAGGACCGCATCAGAAATTATACAAAAATTTGGAAATCTTTAAATGATAGATAGATAATTTATATTTTAACATACAATACATATACAAAATCAGTATAGCAGTATTTCAAAAATATTTTTTCTTATTAAGCAATCTTGCGCAAGATTGCGCAAGAATTGTCTTGCATTTCCTGATTTTCACGATGATAAATTATGGTGCGCGAAGTTGCGCGCAATCGTGTTATATCTCTACACCTGACGTACAACTAATCACGAGCTCGAAATTTTTTTTGCATATCATGGGTGACCACGCGTTGACGTCGAGAAAGAAGCGCCAGGAAACCTCTGATAATCACGATAAATGAGTGACGTTGCGCACTATAAATTTCTTTTGCGCCAGATTGCTTCCTATGTTTGTGCGCTTCAGGACTAGGAAACCACGACTCGTACTTCAAATATATCTCGAGAGATAACTGCGTGCGACTGCGCAAAGAGTTTAAACAAATCTGTGCAAAGTTGCGCAAAGCAATCTTTTTCAATTGCCCAAATCAGACAAGTATCCAGCAACGATGTGCGCGGCAAATTCAAAGAGCGATTTCTGTGATGCCTATATCTTTTCGACCAGCATACACGCAATTCACTTTTCGATCTTTAAGTGTAAGAAAAGTAAGAAAAATAAATTATTGTAAGTAAATAGCGAAATGAGTTTTATAAACTTTAGAAAGAAATCGATTTTGGTAATTTGTAACAAGTCGGTTTGAGAATTTTTGAATAAAATAGAAGATTTCAGTGTCAAAATCTTTATCTGTAGTGAGCTGCGCAAAACTTAAGGATATAGTGCTACGCGGTCCACATATTCTCATCTGCGCAAAACTTAAGTGACTTGTTACTCATTTCACATGCACATTTAAAATGTAGTATTCTTTTTAGTTTGCCCAAAGATCTCACCAAACGTTCCGCCCCTTCAAACAGAGGTTAATAGTTATCTTCTACTCCTTAGAGCTGAGTGTCAGGCAGATCAGGCCAAAAAATGCGTGTTTTTCAGTCCCGTGTTTTTCAAACGTGCATAACAATGATTCCCCTTTCCAGAGTTATCTATTCCAGAGTTTTTCTCTGTCAGTCTAAGTGAAACTGTTTTAAGCATTATTCATTGATAGATTGATTTAGTCTAGTCCTACCTATACTAGCCTCTCTCGTTGATCTTTCTTGGGGTCCGTTTCTCCCATACAAAAAAGAGTCGTTGTGGCGGAGAGCCTCTAAAACTGATCTCCGTGTATAATAGATTTATTGGGTTACCTGTGGTAATGCGATGTATCCCATAATATTCTTAGCGTACCACATGTGTCTGTCTGGAAAGTCTCGAAATCTGTAAAAAATATCATAAATTCTAACCTGGAAAACCAAGAAAATTACAGTAAAAGACGTATTCAAGGTAAGTAGAGTAATTCGGCAATAATCTGAGAACGAAAATTTATAGTTTTTGCTCAAAAAAGGCTTCTTTTATCCGCGAATGCTGAGACGGTACTCGCAGGATGTTCCATCCGATCGTTTCTGCTGTTTCGTATAAGTCGGTTTCCTTTTTTAGATTCTTCATAGCTATTTTCATTTATTATGTACCATAAATTTCATATGAAGATTATGTATTATTTGGAGAGCATTATTTGGAAGCGTAGCTGTGAGTATTATTGTGAAAGCTCGCTTTGAAAGTACATAACTTATTAAGCTTTTTGTAATGTTGAGTTGTTTCTGTGTTCTTTATGTTCGAGGCTCTGAACCTATAATTTCTTAAGCAAGCTGCTGGTAAAAAATTATCTTCTGGTAAACGAACTCGAAGTTGTTTTGTTTTTGGTATTAGTGTCGTAAAACTATTATGTTTTCAGCGACATTTTCTGTCAAAACTTCAACATTCGATATTCACAATTTTTAAAATTTAATCACAAGCAGTCCAATCAGTGGTCCTTTGCTGTCTTTTTTTGGGCCTATCTATATTGAAAAAAGTTGCCAAGGAGACCTGAGACAGCTCTCCCCCACGAGACAACTTTACAGAGCATTTACATTGAGTTTTACTTCTCCAGTAAAAACATGATGGCAGCCAAGCCTCCTGGACTAGACAAAAAAGACGATCGACCAATAAGAGGAAAATCACCTGATAGAGACAGAAGAAGGTTGGCAGAAGTGAGATATGAAACCAACAGAATGGACCCACACTCTGTGCGTTGCAGAATATTCATAGGGAACTTGGCTGGAGAAAGGATGTCTCGCCAGGATCTAGAGGACATATTTATCAAATATGGTCACATTAGTGGGTGCTCAGTACATACAAATTTTGGGTTTATACAGTTTGATACTGAAAAGGCTGCTGATGAGGCAGTGGCCAAGGAAGATGGAAGAATGCTCCATGGCAAGAAACTTGGTAAGTGGCTTCCATCCTTCAATTTCAAGAGAAGAATAAGTCTTTTGAAATAGGAATGCTTGTTGATGCTTTTTGGTTCAGTTTTATGATCAAAGCTTACTTGGGAGCATCTAATAAAGCCTATTGTATGTATTGCATTCTGTTTTACTTGACATTTCAATTCATAAATCATTAAGATTCCCTTTCTTTCCTATTTTCAGATGTTCATTTGGTATCTGACAAGAGAAGGAGAGGTCCTCCTCCTCCAGATATTGGTAGAGGTGGAGGAAGAGGAGGGAGAGGAGGAAGAAGCAGACATTCACCCCCACGAGATAGAGGTAGAGATGATTTTGGGAGGTATCCATCAAGGTTTGATCATCCAGAGCCTGAACGCTATGGCCGCCCAGTAACCCCACCTAGACATGCTCCATTTCGAGAACCATTTGATCGTCCTGATGACTACCACAGAGACCGATACAGGGATGAACACCCAAGAGATTCTTATGATAGACGTGACCTTCCACCTCCCCCAAGGGGCCCATATGACGACAGAAGAGATCCATTTGATTATCCACCAAGAGGGGATCCTTACTATGATCGTTATGGTGATGTGCCTAGGGATGCAGTACGCAGGGATGACTTTCCTCGACATGAAGGTCCCAACAGAGAAGATGTCAGGAGAGATGATTTACGACGAGATGCTCCACGACGAGATGATCCTCGCCGTGATGACACCTATAGCCGTTACGATAGTTACAGTAGGAATTATCAAGATGAATATGGTCCACCTTCAAAAAAATCTCGTCCAGAGTATGATGATCCCTATAGTAAGCCTGTTCAAGCTCCAACTGATTGTGTCGTTATCGTGGTCAGCAAAATACTGCTGTAAGTTAACTGACTTTACTGACTGTTATTTAAATGCAATGCAACTCAAGTGCTATTTGTCTTACTGCTGTTTTCTGCTCACAGATTGTATACAGTATGGGGGGTAGTTTAACAGCAGTATCTTATTATGGGGTCTGAGACAAGTTCAACTGCAAAATATTGACTCAATAAAACACCCTTATTGTGAAACCATGTGTGAAATGAAATGCCTTTGTTAACACCCTATTGTCCTTCTTGTTACACAGTGATTATGGTATGTTGGTTGAGAGAAAGTTCAAGGATTCTGGTCTAGTGACGGATCTACAGTTTCTTGGGATGAGGTCAATGACAGAGTTGTTAGACAGTGTGACCCGCCATGGGGTACTCTATGCAGTTGTTATCACCAATCAACATGAAGTACATCGATCCGTGACAGTCAATATTCTACATGGCACTCCTCAAGGTAAACTTCGTTGGTTAATGTATGATGTTTATTATATTAATGGAAAAAGATATTTAATGAATTTGCTTGAGCGACATGAAAGCATGGATCCAAGTTGAGGTTGGACTGGATGTGTTCATACATTTACTGTCTTTTATCAATTCCAATATCAACAGAGAGCCATTGCTTCGCGGTAACTCTTGCAAACTAAGAAAATATCTATTGTTGTGTGGTGTTATATACAAGTATTAATAAGGGGATGAGTTAACTAATCATGCAGAAAAACTATATAAGATTATCAGGGTTAACATCTACTGCTAGTAAAGTTGTTACTATTTAGCTGCCTGTGATCACCAATAAAGGTGGTCATTTTTACAGAGGGTGATACAGGAATGGAGAGAGATTACTAATCATGCAGAAAAACTAAGAGGTTTTTTTCAGCATTTCTGCCTGCAATACCAGTAAAGGTGTACCTAAAATATAAAGCTGACTGTCTTCAATTAAGACTTTCATTTTTACAGAGAGCATTTCTCTAGGGTGGTATTCATAGTAAGGTACAAATGACATTAAAATGAGTTCTTTCTTCAGGGATTAATTTTACAGGATAACAAGTGATGTTTCAGATTCGATATTTCACTCATAAGTGTCTGAATTTGCTACTAACCTTTTCATCAGCATCCTTCATTTTGTTATTCTTGTCAAATCTTGGATTCCGTGGTTGTTGCTTGTTGGTTCCGTCTGGTATCAGAGAGTGGAATAAGCATATACTTGCCAGTAACGTGGGTTTTGGTATCCATTTTTTGTATCATGATGGTCTATTATATAATATTTTTGCATCTTTTTAAATACTGCGCCTAACGGAGCCATCTGACATTTGGAGTAATTGGAATTTTTTGGGCCTATGTCTTATACACAATTGAGTGTGTGATAATGATAAGAATCAAGACATTTTCATACCTCATTATTATGATGTAATACTTCTTATATTTCAATTTTATCTAAAACTAAAGTGAATATGATATAATGATAATATGATAATCGCAATGCCAACATTGTTATCCTGATGTGACACCACTTTTGGTTTTTTGTTCATAAAACTCTCCATTTTTAAAATAGGTCAACATGATATGAAGTTTGACATTTTTGAACATTAGAACTATCGAGAAAGTACTTCCTGAACAAGTATTGTTTTCATGCTTACTTAAAGAGGATCGTTTCAGCACGAGTATGTCTGTTTCCTTGTCTGTGTTTTGTAATCTATGCGATATTGATGTTGAATCACACTGGGTGACATTTTCAATTTTAGCTGGCAAATATTATCCAGTGTTAAACATACAACGAAAGGGTTGACCGCTCAAAAATCAAATATTGCATATATAAGTATGCATATCTTGCTTTAACATAAATAATTATGTGCAAATTATGCGTCTTTGATAGGCTTTCCAGCAGAAAATGCTTAAGTGGCATCACAATGGAATGTTTTTGCGCAGAATGTCTTTATCCTCTGGTACTTTAAGCCGAACATGCTCATATTCCTGGCTTTTAAACTTGACCTGCGTAACTCTGGATTTGTCTTGACATTCTGGATTTTCACTGACAGTTGTTATAAACTATCTTTAAACCTGTCTAGTCATATGTTAAATCTTTGCATTGGAAAACGTTTTTATGAACAAGGATGTGCAATGTATACCACAGTTTTCTCACTAACTTGTTATTATTTCATTGAAAGTTTTTATATGTAGTCAATATCTATTGGTATGAAATGATTGTTACTGGGGTTTCTGAAGCGTCATTAACAGGATTGTAAAAATTATTTTTAGAAGAGATATTCATAGCAAGCTGACCTCCATGTGTCTATTGAGCAACTCCATAAACGTCTTTTAGCTCTTGGAAAAAAATCCTTTATTACTGATAATTTACTGAGAAATTAATATAGTTAGTACTTGGTATTAGTATTAGAAGAGATATTCATAGCAAGCTGAGTTTACTGGTATAAAAATAGTCATTACATGTATTATATTATCTTGTGGAAAAACATTTTCAGATTACTGTAAGGTCTTCACTTTTGTCATGGAACTTTCAAAATCTTTGTAGTTTGTTATCTTCTTTATTGGGTTTTCTCTGTTCTGATTTAATTTTTAATCACCCATATTCAAACATATTTGCACTTTATACTTTAACTGTGATTTTTTTGTTTTCCAGGACTTTACAAAAAACAAACCTTTCATATTTTCTGCATTTACATAGTGATAATCCCATCCTATTCAGACTTTGTGAAATACTTTTAATATTCCTTCTGGTGTCTTCAGAAATACTACTTTGATGATCAGATATCACAAGCATGAGACAGAATTATGGTTCTACTGACATATTTTTTCCTGAGACTCATAAATGTTCAGTAATTCCGATATTCCCATTAGACCAAGATTAGGATTTTTTATTTGTCCACTTCAAATATTTTTCTTCAAACTTTTCAAGTTCTATCTTTTCTGTAGCCTGCGTTACATCCGGAATTTTCTTCGTAAAATACCGTCTGTGAAACATCGCCAGAAAGCTTGTTCTGGACCTCCTGCAAATTGCACGATTATATGTAATAGATTCTGATTGGCTGTTAGCCATTGCTCATTCTAACGTGAACTCCCATTGGATAACACTATCAAACCAGATGTGAACAAGCAAAGCATCCTAGTTTTCAAAATGGCGTTTTCTCTTGATGGGGATCTTTGGACTAGAGCGTTTTTAGAAGTAAAGTATCAGTTTGAGATAGAAATTTTTTTAAAAATCTTTTCAGTCATTGGGCTTAGTCTCAGGCAAGTCCAATATTTTCTTTCTATTATCAACATTTTGAACTTGGTATGACTTTTTTCCCAATTGTATATTGTTATATCAATGCTGCAAGTCCACATGTTTTTTTTAACTATCTGTACAGCTTTATAGTCAAAAACCCTTCAAAAACTAATGCACTAAGGTATAACTAACTTGTTGAAAAACTACCTTGAATTTTATTTTTGCATTCCCAATTCCCTGATTGTGATTGAGTAATAGGTTATTGCTATTGTTTTACACTTCAAAATGTCTTACGGAAAATTGTAATTCACACTGATCGAGTCAGTGGGAGATGATATGGTTTTCATCAGTTTGGTTCTTTTAGAATTGCATCAACTACTTGTCTTACTTTGTAATATCTGACTTGAAAAACAAAATGAGTCTTCAACTCCAGTCTAAACTCTAATGAGTTTCTTTCAATATGTAAGGTTTCTAGGAGCATGGACATTTTATTAGATACATTACGATGAGGTATCTCATCTTTCTAAAAAGCAAAAGAAAGCAGCTTCAGTTTGAAATTATTTCTGCGCATGTGTGATGGACCAGAGAGGGGCTGCACCCATAACGAATACAGGGACATATCATGGGATAGTGTTACTTGGATTACTTGTAGTGATGTGTGATGGACCAGAGAGAGGCTGCACCCATAACCAATACAGGGACATATCATGGGATAGTGTTACTTGGATTATTTGTAGTGATGTGTGATGGACCAGGGAGGGGCTGCACCCATAACCAATACAGGGACATATCATGGGATAGTGTTACAGGACGTACTTGTAGTGATGTGTGATGGACCAGAGAGGGGCTGCACCCATAACCAATACAGGGACATATCTAAGGGTAGTGTTGCAGGACTTACTTGTAGTGATGTGTGATGGACCAGGGAGGGGCTGCACCCACAACCAATACAGGGACATATCATGAGATACTGTTACAGGACTTACTCGTAGTGATTTGTGATGGACCAGAGAGGGGCTGCAATCATAACCAATACAGGGACATATCATGGGAGTGTTGTAGGACTTACTTGTAGTGATGTGTGATGGACCAGGGAGGGGCTGCTCCCATAACTAATACAGGAACATATCTAAGGATAGTGTAACAAGGATTGTTTATTATAGTGATGTGTAAAAAAGAAATTGTAAAAAATGATTGTAAATTCTTTGTTACTCCTGTTGATGTAAATACACAACATTCTAATGCATGCACATCTTTTTGGGGCAGGCATCAAGTAAACTCTTGATATTCCATATGTTAAACATGATTTTTAACTCAAAATTCATTTGGCCTAAATGATTGCATTATTTAAGAATTTGTTATTTTACCAAATGCTGGCTGTCACACACCATAAAGCATTTGTATTAGAAAGTTACATATTTTGCACTTCATATTTATGTAGTATTTGTGGTAAACTATTTACACCTGAGAGAAAATCTAGTAATTAGAGTATCAAGGTGAAACTTGGTATCCTTTTAGATATCCTTTCCAGTTCTAGGAGAATTATTCTTTCTAATGGCACTTTTGTAGAATGTAGAATTTCATCTCCATTTCTTGGAGAATTTTTCTTTCTACTCTCACTTCTGTAGAATTTTAATATCCAGTTGATGGAGAATTTTTCTTTCTACTGGCACTTCTGTAGAATGTAGAATTTTGGTAGACAATGATCTTGTTGGTCAAGACATTTAACGTTTTAGAATCCTGCTTTTGTTTTTTCTACATCTTGACTTCCTTCACAAATTTGGTTTTATCAACAGGTGTCATGCTTGGAATAGTTCAATGCCTTTTGCTATACTTATGACTATTATTATTTCTACACAGAGCACAGGAATATGCCCCTTGAAGATGCTTTGAGACTGGTCTCACAAAATTTTGAACAGTACATGCAAGACCTTCGTAAGCGAGCTGGTGAACTTGATAAGGATAGCACTAAAGATAAAGAACTGGAGAGAGAACGGGAGAAAGAAAAAGAGGAGAAAGAAAGGGAAAGAGAAAGGGAAAGGGAAAGGGAAAGGGAGAAAGAAAGAGAAAGAGAAAGGGAGAAAGAAAAGGAAAGAGAGCGTGAAAAGAGTTTCAGCAGAAGTTCATATTCAGCCCCAACACCTCCTAAACCTGTGAGTCAGGACGGGGATGACATGAAAAAATTGCTCGGCAAAGCTGCTGCTGGTGCTCAACTTTCTTCTAATGAGCTGTCTAAGCTCATTGAGAACTTATCAAAACAACAAAAGAAAGCTTCTGAAAGTCAAGGACCATCAACTAGTGTGGGAGGTAATACCTTTGGTTTTCCGTCATGCCATATTGTTCTTGGTATACGAATGGGAAGTGGAATTTTTCTTTGGTTCGAAATTGAAACTATTATTTTACGAATTTTATTCTTGACTTGTCTGGTCACCGACATTCAAAATTTCGAGACTTTTCAATCTGATGGTGGTTTACAATAATATTGGGAAGCATAATTTCTTTGTTTCATAATTTCATAATTGTTTTTGGGTATAAAATTGAAATATTCAAACTTTCTTTGAGTTCTGACATTGTCTTGTCATCAGCTTTCAAAATTTGGAGACACTATTACAGACTAACTGTTCTGACTTTTAGTTCAACACTTTTATCATCAAGACTATTTCAAAAGTAATATTTTCCTTTGTTGCTTGATGAAAATATTTTATTGTCCACTGAAATCATGCAACATGCATCATGACCCAATGTATGTGTAACCATTTTTTTTTTTCTGATGATGAGTACTTACTTGAACATTCATCTGAAATGCTAGTACAGCACTAGTGTTATTTTTTGAGACTCCAGCTAAAGTTGACCTTTTTTGACCAAATTTTTTATTTTGTTATCAAGCTCCTTGAATTAACTGTTTTTGCTAAAATAGCTTTTATTTAATTAATAGGTAAATGTTTTTTAAATTCATTTCTTTAGTTACCATTGATGCTTTAATCAATTTATTTTTTACTTTTACAACTTGTTTCTATCCAAATACCACAAATAAGGTTTGCCTGTTCATAAAAGAAATGTGCTTACAGATTGGTTAAAAGAAATTGCATTGAAAGCAAACATTTTTCCAGCTTTAGGTCAGGCTGCTTTGATAACTTGATTTTTGTGTAGTTTAGTACTTAATTTGGTAATTCAGTATGTTGCATTGACCTATTGCATTTTACAGTTACATTTTTTACAGGTTGCCTAATTGTGGCAAGAGCTTCTGGCTGTAATTTACTCATTCGATGTGCCTTATTTTTGCTTTTTCCTGCTTGATTTAGTCTGTGCTTTTCACCTTTTATTTTATTATGTCGGTGATCATTTTCATTTTTAACTATTTCAAGGTACTACCTTGTTAGCCTACAAAAGACTGAAAGAAAATTCAAGTTATCAAAGCTAGACTGCCTATCACATTTCTTAGTCAATATTGACTAGTAATTTTTCACATGGTCAAGTGTCACAAATCATGCGGAGCATGTTTAAGCCTTGTAACATTGACATACTGAGCATCTTTGTTTTCATTTTTCATTTCAAACTGATTTTTCATCAGGCCCTTCCACATCCAGTCAACCACAACCTTCTTCTGATGCTCAGTCTATTGCAAAACAACAAGCTGATCTGCAAGCTAAGATTCTTAGTATTTTGAATCCCAGTACATTGTCCAAGGTGTCTATTGCTGGGCTGACATCAGTTGCACAATCAATTTCTGGTACATCTTCTGTTTCTTCTGCACAAAAAAAGTCTGCTGGGTCGTATGGGGTGCCTTCGTCCAAGCCTTCAGCCCCTCTGTTTCCTGCAGCTAAAGCAATATCTAGGTCAACATCCTCAAACAATATGTCTGGTGGTGCGTCCTCTGCTGGAGCTGTATCTGGTTATGGTTCAGCAGCTGCTGCTCCTGTCACCAATCAGTATGCCAAACCTGGAGCTTCTGAATCAGCAGGGTATGGAGTCCCTAAGTCAACGCCTGCATGGTATAGCGGCAGCCAGACAACCACTCAGCCAAACACATTTAGTAAGCCAACTGCAACTCAAGAAACAACATCAGCAAGCTATTCTACAGGACGCGCCTCTTCCAGCTACGATGTTCCGAAGGCATCTCCAAGCAGCTACGCTGTTCCAAAGGCATCTTCAACAAGCTACGGTGTTCCAAAGGCATCTCCAACAAGCTACAGTGTTCCCAAAGCATCCCCTACTAGTTATGGAGTTCCCAAAGCATCCCCTACTAGTTATGGAGTTCCTAAAGCATCACCTGTGGTTAGAGCACCATCTCCTGCAGGTAGAGGTTCTCTTCCAAACAATAGAGGACATGCACCTACAGCTCGGGGATCATCAATGGCGGCATCTCAATCTAGTTCAGCCTCCAGGCCACCACCTTATGGACCTCCTTCTGGCAGAGGAGGACCCCCACCTGCCTCCAGAGGTGGAATTTTGGGTGCAGGACCTAGCAGAGGAGGAATGCCACCATCACAGCAAGGTAATACAGCATCAAGAGGTCCTCCATCAGGATTAACGGCAGTCCGTGGAGGCCCACCAATCTCACGGGGAGGCCCACCAAACTCCCGGGGAGGCCCACCAAACTCCCAAGGTGGCCCACCAAACTTGCGGGGTGGTCCACATGCAGCTTCTAGAGGAGGCCATCTCCAGTCCAGAGGACCTGCACCTGGAGGACCTTATGGCAGAGCTGGGATGCCTCCAAGTGGTGGCCCTCCACCACGTTATGGAGTACCAGCATTCAGAGGAGGTGGCCCTCCTCATTCCAGAGGTGCACCTATAACTACAGTTCAAGGAAGGGGCAGACCCCCACCAAGACCTTATTAAACCTAATAACATCATCTGTAGTAGGGGCAGTGATGACTATATTACAAATCTATAGAAACATTTTTACAAGAATACTTGTTTTAAGTTTGAATAGCATAGTCATTGGGAAAAACTGTTATAAATGTTTGAAGCACATTAAAACTTGCCAAAGTACACTAGGTATATTTCTAGCTTTTGCCATATTTTTAGGTTAAAGACTATTTTCCTTGGTTTATTTGAGGTCCATTATATTAATAACGTCCTTGGATACTGTCAGCAATCCCTGGACAATCACTGTAAACAGTTTTTCATGTTTGGTTTAAAATTCTTAACTTGTACTCATGCCAGAACACACCAACAGCATGTTTTCTTAAAGCTCTGAAAAATGTTATCTTCTTGTTAACTTGTTATGATTATTAGAAATTTCAAGTATTACCTGTATTCGTTGCTAGTTTTATTCTCATTAGAAGTGACAATTTTACTTTTATTATGTTAGTTAAATCATTAAAGATTGTAAAATTCTTTGTAAAATTTCTATTATTTCTTCTCTAAATGGGGTTTAAAGTTGTAAAGAGTAAAGGTTTTGTTCTTAATGATTATAGAAATGTGTGAAAATGCAGTTTCATGAAAAAAATAATAATAAGATAAAGTTTATAAATTCCATTTCAAGCCCAGTAACTAACATTAATTTTAATACACCCTAAGATTGCAATTCATGTAAAAATACCTGCAATAGTAAACCTTTGCAGATCTGGCTAACATTGAGGGCACTAACATTTTGCAAACTCACCTGACGTTTTAAAAGTACTCTTGCAGTGCAGTGAAACTTAAATTTAATAAAAACGCATAAGTCATCCAGTAATTAAAAACTCGCAATTACATATCCTGGACATCATAAAAATGTGAAATATGTTTTACAGAAGTCTAACCATTGATTCCTCTGTCTTCTGTCTGGCAAATACTGCTAGCCGGATAAAAATGCTGCTCATTTGGAAAACAAATTTTATTGAAATTATCAATTTTATCTGGAAATCAAATAACTAATACTAGAGCGCCGTCATTGTATCCATGCAACAAAATACGAAAAAGTGTTATCTAATTATATCGACAAATAGTTAATATCACTCAACCAGAACATATTGCTTGCATGGAGGTATTGAACTTTCATCACTTTATTTTCATGGGGAACTTATCAAAGTTTATTCAGGTGTGATTTAACATGAACGCATTGATTATATCATTCAAGCTTAAGGTGTGTTCCGACCCAGGATTACAAGTACACTTTATAAGTCTTATAAAGTTGCATGGTGAATATTCATGTGTAAATTCCGAATCAGCATATTGTTATTTTTTACTTGTTTACTAAGTTTGCGCTTAGCTGATATTTTGGTGGCATTGAGTCCTATGTGATTTGCATTTGTTTCATGAGCATAATAATGGGGTCCAATAATGGCACTCTTAAACTACTTGGTTGTAGTAATGATTATATTTAATTGGACAAGTCACAAGGTGAGTATACAGGAGGTTGTCAGTTGTTGCAATAAAGCTGCCTTTGATTTCTCCTTTCCTGTCCTGTAGGCTTGAATGGTTTTGATTGCTGTAGGGGAAAAAATTGTAATGTAAGCAAAGCACAAGTTGATTATGATGAGATAGATAACATGAAAGCTGAAGGTTTTTTAAAAGTAATATACTAATGCGTTTATTAGTGGTTGTTCTATATGACCTATTGAATGAATGCAAATGAGGACGATTCAGACAGTACTGATCAGACGTCTTCTCCTGGGTCACTGATTTTAATTGTTTTCCCTGTGAGTCAATAATTATTCATATTAATATGATAATTAAATGCAGCCACTGTTTTCATATTGAACAAGATTCAAGAAGTTTCTATACTCAGATATTGAGCTTCACGGCAGGCACAATATGATAAAATTCATACAGTATGATGGTTTTCCAGTTACCCAGATAATTTTGGTTACATCGTATCAAATTTAATGTCAATATTGTATTGTCTCCATCCACAAGTTTTTCAACCATGCAGTCTGACAGTATGTTCTTTTATATTTTTTTCTTTTACCATGTGCCAATATGACCTAGGTCATGCATTGGAATTTATATGCACCCCTACCTCTCATAGTCCAAGAACTGCCTATTGGCCACACCCACTTTATTGTAAAAACTGATGATGATATTTTCAAGCATAAAAAAATCCATTTAGTGTCAAGAAAACATCTTAAAGTTAGTAGTGGTAAAAATTGAAAGCAGGACTGTACTTTTGCTGGTGATCAAAACATAATTTCATTCCATCTGATGACTTTCTACTTCCCTCTAGTCAGAATAATGTTAATTGTTTGCAATTTTATGGCACAATTGTAGACCCAAATGAATTCCTTTTTTGTCTACAAGTCTGTGTATTTCTAATTACATTTAATTTCTTTCAACTAAAACTGAGAAGTTTATAATATAGATCCCTGAAAATGAGGGTGCATTCTGAGCTTTCATTCTCACCTTTGTAATAAGAGGGGGAACAAAACAACCTTGGCTCCATTACCTATACATTCCCCCTCTACAATCAAAATATCAAGCTATGAACATAAAATGAAGGAGATTTGGGGGGGGGGGGGATGGGGTTCCAAAGTCTGCAGAAGAAAGATAACAATGTAATCCAAAACCATTATATGACATTGTAAAACAATTTGAATATGAAAACACCCACATTCCTATCAGGCAAAATCCTTAAAGCCCAAGTAGCATACAGCAAGTTGGGATGCATGGGCAATTTCTTGTGGAATACATTTTTTAATAAAGCAGTTAATTTGCATAATTATCTTCAGTTGGCAGGATGTAATTTTCACATTGTTTTGATGACCACCCCCACGGCCCTTGTAAGCTTTGAAATTTCAATCTGCATACACTTTAATATCAATGCTGTTTTATTATGAAGATTTGCCCACATATTGCTGGGTTTCACTTGATGTCATTTCTTATCTGGTGTGGAATGTTCACCAGCTGAATTTTTCTGGTTGACAGCACGTGGTGCGCAGTTTTTGACCACCATTTGGGGCAAATAATGATCAGATTTGAGGATTTTTTCCTGATACTCTAGGAAACTATATCCTCATGCACAACTGAGACTAATTACCAATTTTCAACTTACCGTGTGTTAAAAATCCATAATATTGACTTAATTACGTAACTCATTTTAAAAGGTACACACACAAAAATACCAATAGGGTACTGGCACAAAAGGGTGGGTTGTGCATTATATATTTTAATTAAAACAGTAAACCCAGAATATACAAATCAGTATTAGTTTATTATTATAAGTATATTTAAATGCCCCCGTGGGAGGATTTGTTGAAGTCCAGATGGGGTGGGCAGAGGGACTTAACCTAAATCTCCTGAGGCTTGAGGGCATGTCACATTAATCACTAATCCCCCAATAAATCATGCTATTACTTGATTATCATGTACTCTAGGGAATTGTGAGCATGCATTTTCTTTGTTAACTGAATATAATGAGCAATTTCAACTCGGAAGTGATCACTGTTGAACGCATAGGTAACGACTACTGAATCGGTCCCATAAGTGCTATGGTATCTTAGCAGTGTAGTGGAGAGTCATTGGGACCGGGGGGGGGTACTCCACCAGAATTTGGGTAGGGGTGTTCTGCTGGGATTCTGAAAGGAATACCATGTTTATGATTAAAAAAAACTCAAATTTGTGGACTCTGTTTATGATAAAAGATATTATTTATTGCACTGAGTTCCTGTTTCAATTATCATGTCTTTTCACATATCGTTTTTTCATGACCATAATAATGAGTTTCGGTCAATACGAAAGTAGAATCCCTGAATATGACAGGAAACTCAGGAAGAACTTGGAACTTGAGTGAAGTTGCATACCCTGTTTATGATAAGAAGCTTGAAAACCCATATCCTGTTCAGCGGATCATCCCCAAATAGTCCATATATGGGAGTACCCCCCCCCCCCCTCCAGGGCATTCGGACCTGTATAAGATTTCTACTGGCATGGGTCAATGCGACCCAGTCATGGTCCAGGTGTTATATGAGGGATCGTCCCTCGTGAGTTTCTTGTGTATAATTAAGACTGTTTCATGTTGAACAAGAAATGTTAGTAATCCAGGGGGCTAGATGGATAGAGGGCATGATTACTGTACATAAACTATACTTTACATTTAGCTTCACAGTATCACTCACTTATAACCCCTGTGCTGCTACCCAGTGTGGTAAAATAAATATGGAAAAAGATATTGGATCCTATATTAAAGAGATGTCAACCATTACCCTTGCAAACTATCAAATATCTGCTTATACCGGTAACTTTGATATACCTGGACCTGATCATTGGTTGTAAATCAAAATGGAATCTACTAATTAATATTACAAACACCTATTAGAAATTAAACGTTAATTTTATTTGTCTTTTTGTATCTAGGTTGGTCAAAGGGAACTGGAAGAATATAATATTATAGTCCACCAACTAAAATTGGTTGGTCAAGTCGACACAGACTGCATAATTATGTAATAACTGGTCTTGTGATACTCAGATCATAATGGAGGAAGTGATGCTTAAACAGGTTTGTTAAAATTTATATTATTGTGTAATTCAAGAAAAAATTGTTTCTGATGGATCTGGTGACTTGAGCCTGGTTCACATGAGCAATGCAAACAAATTAGGTGCAAATTTATGTGTAAACTACAGCAATTCAAATGCAAGGATGGAAACTTTTTCATTTGATTTATTATTTGTGTTTGCATTTTTAACTTGTGGACCGATAAAAACACAAGCAAAAGTACTTGTAAACTACAAACTGAACAGTCACTCAAAGGCAAAATCATAAACGTTTTAAACATTCAAGTAATTACTGCACTTGCTGCTGCCCTGATAGAGTAAATGCTTCTTCCCTCCTCATTCCCTTGAGTATCATTTCTTTGTTTTCTAGCTATACTTGAAAATTCACAGTGTCATTGAATTGGCTGCCAACTTAAACAATGAATCGTAATCTCAAGAGAATGACACAATGCTTGAAATGAGAAAACTGTTATTATGCAAACCAGCTTTATTTTCATTTCATCTACTTATAGCTGCAGTGTCAACTGAAGTCCAGTCTTCCATTGTTCTAGCATCAAGCTTGGATTGAGCAGGATTTTTAGGACAGAGTGTTCCAGGCAATGAGAGTTTCAAGCAATAAATACGAGTGACCAAATGGGGTTTTTACACTGTTTTTATGTCTGATGCTAATGGTAAGTCAATTAACTACTTTTTATTAGGTACCTCTGAATATTATTGTTCTTATTGTTCTATTATCGTTTAGGATTAGGATTCCTGTGATAATGGTGGTTTTGTTTGGGTAAACAAGCCTTCTACCTCGTTCCTGCACACCACCACAGGGCTCCCAATATCCCTGCATCCCCATCCAAATACTAACTGGGACAGTTGAACAAAATTGAAGATACAACAGACTTAAGCCAATCAGGAGAGTAAAATCAGTATCACATTGCCCGTAGCCAATCACAATCACTCATTCCCACAGTTGATGATAATGTCTATATTTTCCCTCGGATATCTAGGCTGTGTCGTATGATGCTCCTGATTGGTTCAAGTTTGATTGCTTTGTTTTCACTCTGTCGTGATTGGTTAACTTTCTTCAAGTGGTTGACATCCCAGTTAGCATGTCCACGCAGTAATGTTGCTTTGTAGGCTAGTAACTCAAGAGCCTCCTTACTTGATACTATCTGTATGGGTCTTTAACACACATCTTGGACTTCTGTGATGCTGATAAATCACCAATGCCAGTAGTATCAACTTGCTTATTCATATTGTCTTTTGTCTCACTATTGCAATTGATTTTATTTTCAGGTTGAGTATTATTCACTCCACTGGCTGTTGAGACCAGACCATGATTGCCTGTATCTTTGGCTGAATCCATTGTTCTAAAAACTCTTTCCAGGCGAGAACAATCCTCATATGCATCTTGGAAAGCTTGAGTCTGTTCAAAAAAACAATCAAAAGATCAATCATAGTATCTGTCTATCTCAATCCAAAATTAAATGCACAAATCGATGCACACTACTGTAGATATTTCATATCGGAATCATATCGGAGTAAGTAGTGCACTAGGGTCTAGGGTCTCAGGTTTGAATCCTGGACTCAGATTTACATGTGAGCAGAGTTTTTTAAGTGTCTCCCTCCATTGTAGGGTTTTTCTTTGGTTCTCCAGGTTTTTTCCCTCAACAAACCTAGCACATTGAATTTCAATGTATTCTGTGAGTTCACCATGAACTGACTTGGATCAGCCCAAAGGTTGTTTCAATGTTCAATAAAATGTTGAGATTTTCCACTATAAAATACATGCACTGTGTTAAAGTCTTCCCCCAACCCAGTAAGATCCTACCCCTTATGTTAAGGAGAAAAGAATGTCTTGGATGTTTTTTTACCTGTTCAATGTGTTGCTGTGTCATTGACCCAGTAGACTCTATCTGTGTCACACCAGTAGTATGTTGTGGATAATCATGACTTGTGGTATCAGTAGTACCCATGGTTTGTTGGTACCATGTCCAGTATTCATGTTCAGAGTATTGATGGTCTGTGTTGGGGTACGGAGCTGTTATCCCTTCACCTCTTACAGGCTGTTCCCGGGACTCTAATTCCTGAATTATTCCTCTGTCATATGCAGCTTCTAATAATTTGTTTTGGGCTCTCTCTTGTTCCTGGTAAAAAAAAGAGTTAATATCAAAGAGGAATATATTATAAAACTAATAACATCTCATAATCATTAAATTAATAAATGCATGCAGCTCACTAGAAGGTGAAAGGAAGGGAATGATGCATTAAAGCTGTCCTTCTACAATCTACAGTAACATGAAAACCACTGTCTACAAACAGGTCATACTAACCTTTGCAAAGGGGAGGGGTATAGGTAGACATAATAGGGCCATTTATACTGAGGAAAATATGATGCATCTTACATGAGGTGCGTCTTACGTAAGATGTAAACTGACCAAATAAATGGTATGTAATTGTGTTCGTGTCTTAATTTTGACGCATGTTATTCACAAAGAGGGTTACATGTTGTTCCAAGTTACTGCTGTTTTCCATATTCTGTGAACTCTGTAGTTAGAAGCTGCACGCTGAAATTTGTTTTTTTCGCCCCTGTCAATCAAAACTTTTCAGTCAGTACCCCTAACGTTACTGCTATTTTCATAATAGGTGAACTTGGTAGCTGTAAGCTGCATGCTGAAATTTAGTTTTCCACTGCTGTCAATCAAAAATAATCATTCATTACATCTTATATTCTTGACTGGTGGCAGTGAAAAACCAAATTCACAATGAGCAGTTGCAATGTCCGAGTTTGCAGAATATTGGAAACTGCAGTAAGATGTATTATTTTCCCCTGCGTATAAATGGCCTCATGTCATAAACATTGCCATTGTGAAGTTGATGTACTACAATCAATCAAAACAATTTTTACCATCATACACCTGTATGTACATGTATCCATCACAATGCATACCTTTATACAAGCCCTTGGGTTTGGGTCATCATTAGCCCATCTCACATTCAATAAATCTTTATTGGATAATTTTTGATCTGCCATAGCAACCTAAAGCCAAAAGAGTTGCATCGTTAGGTAAGGAATTAACATTTCTACACATTGGATTTCAAATGGGAATAGAAAAAAACGCGGTACCAGGTACTATATAATACCTTTGCAAACTCGGCATTGACTCTATTCTTGTATCTTACAAATGCAATTTTAAGTTTTGTGATGACTCTAATATCCTGTAGTAAAGAGAAAAACTCATAAGTAAAAAGAGGTTAACTTGAATTGGCAGTATTTGACAGAAAAAACCAGGAGAGATTTTGATATGATTGATAGTAATTAATTTTATTCTACCAGCTATTATATCCTTCAAAACGTAACAAACATTAATATTAATGCAAAACTCAATTTTTTAAAAGAATTTACTGTATTTGAGTGAAAGTCTTGTAACTTTTTGATAGTAATGTACATACCTCTATTTCTCCCCATTCACCAAACTCTTCCCACAGATCTTCTTCAACTGATTTACGGTTTCCCAGACCACCAACATAAAGCGTAGTACATTCCTTTTCAAATGATCCGGCTCCACCTAGGTTTTCCTTGTGGTTCAGATGCCGATCACGACCAAAGCAATCGAGTGCTAAACCAATTCTGAAATTTTACAGAGAAAAAAGGTTTTACTTGACCCTTGAAATCATTATAGATCATGTTTTCTAGCCACATGCATAAAAATCATATGATTTGCATAGACATCCAACAAATCAAAACCCTATTTTGTCATCAAGGCAAATTGTTTAATTTTGTGCATGTGAATGGGACTGGTGCTGTAGTAGAACAGTTCTCAGGGAAGGGAACTTGTTTATTGTCTTGTTAATTGTCTTATCCTGAACAGACATTAGGAATTTCTGCAATATTGCTTGAGGGTACTTTTCATGGATCAGGTTAATACTCCTTACAAGTGGCTCGAGATACCCTACTAATTTTAATGTCAGAAGAAAAATATCCTGTGCAGCATACCTTCTCTCATCCTTGTCTACAGGTAGGGAATGAAGATACCCACATTCACTACCCAAATGACAGCATCCTTTAGCAAAGTATAAACAAAAATAATGCTTGTTTGTCTTTGGGTCCAAGACATTTGCTTTGGTATAACCAGCATCATCGTCAATGCAACAGCGGGTCTCGGCAGGCCCTAAAAGAGAAAACTCCAATATAGTTTGATATTACAATGAGGCCCTGGGGTCAGTACAAGTTTGATGTACTTAGGGTTCAATTAATTCTAAACCTTTTTGGGGTCACGATTCTGGTGCCATTGTAACACAGAATTATCGATATCAAGCAGTATTTATATGTATGTATCCAAACCAAAATGTCCAGACATTGGTGGTGTTGTCACAGCACTCCACAAAATCACACACTCACACATCCGCTCCAGACTAGTGTTCATATCGTAATTTATAACTACTTCTAAACAAAGCCCTACCTCCATCAGGCCTCCAGTGTTCTCCAACCCATTTATCATACCATATATTATATTCAGTAGTTCCCTCTGGTATCCAATGTACTTTCTTCTTCTCGTCCAAGTCCACCTGTCTTCTAGCTGGCCTTTTCATCAAAAGCTCTAGCTTGTCTTCAATGTCTTTACCTGTTAACTTAGGCTTACTAGTCTCATTTTTTCCTTCCGTAATGGTCTGAGGTAACTGATAATTCACCTGAGGTTGTTTCATTTTAATCCAAGGGTTAAAAACCGGCGGTAAGTTGTCCCAGTTTGTTGGTTTTTCCCATTGAGTTTGAAAAGTTTTGGTATTTTGGTAATAAAAGTATCCACTCGTAGTGTCGTATAACGACATCCAATTCCCTCTTGCCTCGCATACCTGATATGAATAATCTGAGTAATCAGTTTGCTGGCCTTGTAAAGGATCGGATCGGTGTCTTTTTGTTGTTATTTCGTCGTTTTCGATTCTATTTTCTTCTTGGCGTTTGTCCGCCATCTTGAAACTAGAAAAATACAACCGCTGACTAAAGAATCTGACGACTCAAATTCTAACCCAGGCTTCTCTCTGTCAATAAATTGACCGGAAGCGGAAGCGCAAAGCAACAACAGTAAACACAGGGCGCCCACGCCTTTATGTCGTTCGGAATTCTCATGACATTTTTAATAACAACTAACGAGACTTTTACAATGTTTTGATCCTTGCCTTGCGCAGTGCCCTGCACTTTTTGGTCATAATAATATTGCACACCTATCCTATGGAACCAGACAAACATAGTGTAACTTTTATTTCAGGTTCACCATATCTCTCTCAAGACTGTCTCCAGCCATCAGGGTTTCGTGCACCCGCTGTTGGGGATTTATGTACCAACAGCTGGAGACTGAGCCTACTCTCCCTCATGCAGGGCTAAAAATTACAGCTGCTAAAAATTACAGCTGCCCAGTAGTCAGACATAATAGCTGGCCACATCAGACTGACCAACATATGGACAATCAATGGACTTGTCAACAGATGTTTGGCTGGATAAGTGCAAATAATTTGTGGAATGATGGAAAAGTGCCATTTGGACATTGTCTATTAGCCATGCCAAAAATATCCATTGACTGGCCATATTTAAAGCCACCCAAAAAAAAACCATTGATTGGCGTTATTTTTGGCCATGCCAAAAAAATTTATAGATTGCATTTTGCCAGATAACAATGAATGTGCCCAGGACCAACTTGAAAAAATATATAACAGGGAACCATCAAGGTTAATGTTGCTGCTTCCCTGATTGCCTGTAGTCATTAGTTTTATTTACTTCTTGTTTACTACTTGATTTACAATCATGTAATAGGTTCTTCACTCCTCAGAATCACTAGATTCTTTCTCATCATCTCTAACAATAGATTTTACACTAATAATTCTTTCTACTCTTAGAATCATTGATAAACACTGCAAAATGTGACTGATCCAAAGCATTTTCCCATTCAAAGGTTCAAAGATACCCTTCCTGTAAGGGTCAATAACACACCCTGTTGTTCCATTCACACCTAATACACTTCCATCGACTCTAAATGAAAATTTGACTTCTTGCTGTACTCTTAAAAAGTTTTTGTCTCTAGAAGTACAAGAATGGGAATTTTTATGCAAAGTATGAGGAACCTGAAGCAGAGACTTGCTTAAAACTGAATATGCTAATGAAAGGTTCTTGTCTTTTGTAGCTTTAGCATATTTTCCAAACTCATTAGCAAGAAGAAATTCTACTGATCCACAACCCGGAAGCATAATTAGATGCAGCCTGTTATCCGAAAATGACATTTTAATACTTTTTAATGCATTATGGAGTGCAATGTAGTATTGCTGGCAAAGTCCTTGAGTTGGTGCACAGAGTAAGATTAGATATGGAACAATATGATTACTGTCAACTTGCTTATCAATCTCCAAGTGAACAAACTTGTGCACCCCAAGAGCTTTTTCTTTACAAAACTTGCCTTTTCCTAAAAAAATATCGGACAGGTTTTTTAGTTCAAAAAGATCATGATGGCACAGTGGTTGCACGTTTCCATACTTGCACAGATGGCTTACTGTCTCCATGGGGACCATTTGAATGACAGCTATGTTAAATTGCTGACACAACTGCAAGACCATGTCTGAAACTCCTTCTGATGAAATAATAAGCTGTATGTCTTGCTCTTTGAGTGACTGTAATATGGAAAACACAATGTTTCTCTTATGGCTGAGAGCTTTACCAAGCATGGTTTCATTCTTTATGTTAAAAGTTACGACATCTGCAGTAAGTTTAACATCATCCAATGAACAATGAATGATCAGAAATGTGAAAACGTTTTTTCCAGATTTAGGGAGGACTTGCTTATCATTTGTAGCAAACTGTCTTGGGATTGCAAATCCTTGAATCACGCATGAGTTCTGCACAGGAGTACCGTGAAACTCAGTACAAAAGTGAGAGAAGTCATCTAATGCCTGTATGATACCTTGGTAAAGTTCATGTCCAAGTTTGCATGTATTTGATATAAAATCTATTAGGAGTGATGTGAACAGATCTTGACAAAGAACAGAAAACTTCCCATTTAAGGTAGTTTTTATTAATTGCGTTAACTTTTGCTTGATTTCATCCTTGTTTTGGGGCTCCAAATTAGTGTGTATGGCAACCTTATTTAACACTGGTGATATGTTGTCAGGGGCAACATCATTGGCAATCTTGTAAAAAGCTTTTGACAACGAAATAATTGTCTGCCAGGACTGTGGTTTTAATTCTAGCTCCCCAATACCCTCTTTCATCTCTAGAAGTCCAATAATCTCCTTCAATGCTTGTATCACGACAATAATAAACGAAGTAACGCCATCTCCTGTTACAAAACTGTGTGACTTCATCTTGTCAACAATCACTCTCCCCAAAGGATTTTCAATATTTAGCGAGTTAAGAACAACGCCGCCACTATTTGTGATTAGAATACTCCCAGATGATGAATTCAGCATAACATCAAGACCGCAAGGTCCAAAGGAATCTCTCAAAACTGACTCCAAATATTCACAACTTTTTAAAGCTTCAAATATGGTCGCCATAATTGAATAATGACAACGATGTTTGTGCCCAGCGGGTAATGTTCTTAGACAGTTCCCGTATAACGACAAAATGGCGGTCGCTGTTGTGTAATGAAAGAAAAAAAACGCTCATATTTTCTTTCTTTTATGTGCTTTACAGCAATAATATCAAGCTATCAACAATATTAGCACAGAGGACATCATACATACTACCATCAAGAGAAATTTTATGGCATAAAAGTTTGTAAATTGGGTCAAACTCCATTTATGAACTGGTAATGTTTTGAAAAGAAAAGAAAAACAGAGTGAGAAAGTTCGTGACATTTGTCTGGCTTGAACAATGACCAGTCACGTCGTGCTCAAAGATGACATATTCAGGACGGTAGGATATTATCATTGCAAGATCTAGAGAAATATTCTTGTTTTAGAGATTCATTGAAGAACTGTGAAATTGTACACCATTTTGGGCTCGTCCCTCTTGTCAGACTAGAACAGTGTTTTTGGTGTTAAGCATCTCGTGAGATGCACGAGCCACTTGCCGAAGTTCTCTTAGAAAAGCTTTGCACGGCTGTTCAAAAGGTGAGTTTTTCGAACGGCGTTTCGATTCAAGTAAATTCTGGATTTAAGATATTAAAAAGCTATCCGAAAAGTTATACGACCAAACGAGTTTCCTCAGCTGCATTTAATAAAGAATAGGAAAATAAAACTGAAATCGCAATTTTTATGCTTCGATCCTCGTTCTCTCATCTTTTACTTCTTTATTATGACATCATTCTATATTTTAAGTGACGCACTTTTTTCTTCGAGTAAGATATCGCTTTAGTATATAAATCAATGTGTTTTAATCTTTCTAGAAATTTGATATTATGTATTTTTCTCAATTTCCTTGTAAATCAAAATGCTCTATTGAATTCAGTTTTTGGCCATCAGTTTTTGTGTTACCCCATTTTAAATTATTGTGGGATTGTAGATGGAGTAAGAATGTCTTATTTTATATTAGTCCTACTACAATTTTGTTTTTACAGGTTCAGGAAGAGTTTGCGTTAGGACAAGGAATTATTAAAAATGGAGAGGCAGTCAATCAACTCTGTCAAAGTGTTGATGGCATCTTTAGTCATGGTCTAAAGGAAGGGTAAGTGCTAATGGTACAAAAATCAACATGTTAAGTAATTTTAGATTTGTCATATTGAATACCTATTTCCTGTAAAATAGGCTTAAGTTTGCACTGCATGCATTATGGTTATGGAGCTTCATAACCCTATGAGCCTCAATACAGTATGAGAATAATAACTATAGAATAGTTAGCTTTCTAAAACGTCAAGGCATGCACAAATAGTAGTAATTGAATAACAGGATAAATGATCACTTATTCTACGGTTTGATGTTATCTCCCACAAGGGATGTTCTGCACTTCATAAAGATCATCTTATGTTAGAATTTGCAATCCTATATCTTTGGTGGGGTTAGTTGTTAGTAACCAATCACTTTTCCTTTGAGTAAGATAGATGAACTATCTAATCAGGATCATTCCCTTATTTTTGAAAAATGATTGGACAATGTTTTAATGCCTTAAATATTTATTTATTTTTCCTATATGTTAGATATGTCTCAGGCTTTACTATTTAAAGAAAGAAATAATACTCAATCAGGGTGGGACACAAAAATATATTAACACTTAAATAACCTTATGGTATAAAATTTTCACGACACCTCAATTTCTTAATTTCCAAGGTTGCATAATACTTTGAATTAGTTATTATCAAAACAACATATTTTAAGTCGTTTTAATTTTGTGATTTTATCAAATTCCTAGACGTTTTGACTTTTAAAGCATATTTACTGGTAATAGTCTAACTCTCCACAGACATCTCCTTGGCTCTTTTTGCCCCTTGGGCTTCCTGTGGTGAGGGCAAATAAAAACTAAACCCAGGGATCCCAACAGAGAATATATGGGGTAGCTTGCGGAGGAGGCTAGTAATTGGCCATTTTAGAAAAAAGTGAAGGACTGGGAATGAGTATATAGAAGGTATAATATTGATAATTAATCTTATTAAAAAACTATTTCCATGACGAGAAAGAGCACATCAAAATTATCAGGTTTCTGTAGTTTGGCATAGCTAAGTAAAAGCTAAATTGTAAGTAATCAAAAGCATCAGAAATTACGAAGAAATGTATATATGAGTGGTTAGAGCATGGCACCGGAATCGCCAGGGCACAGCTTCAAATCCCGTTTAAGACTTTCAATTTGCAGCTGCATACACATAAGTTGCTTCATATACTGCGAGGATCAGCTCAATTTTATATAAAGAAATGTATGTTTACTAATGGACAAGTGTCCCCAGTGACCACACATTTCTTTGTAATTTTTGAGATGTTTGTTAGGTTGCTACACGGTATGAAACCCAAAATCTTGAAACTCCAGAAATTTACTAATTTTGCCGTACTCTTTCTGGTTATGGTGTTTATTTTTTAACTAAGTTAATTCTAAAGACTTGTTCCCAGTCTTCAACTCATTTCTAAAGTGGGCAATAGTCATTCAGTCAGGAGTTTTTTTATTTTTTTGAAATTTCAAAAATTGTGAAAATTTTTGCAAAAATTTAGTGCATAATAAGGTTAATTGAATTATTATAAATATTACTGATGTGTTATCATGGTTATCAGTATTATTACTCTAACTTGCATTTGTTATTCTACTTCATCTACTGGCACTGCTTTTTTTAATCTTGGCCCATCTATTCATCAAGCCTGTCTTGAATCTCTTGAACAGGATTCTCAGCTGGGCTTCAGGTACAGAGACAACCTACTGGCCACTAGTTGTGAAAATCACCTATAAAGAAGTCATTCAAGATATTGAAAGACGCACATCACTCAAGAATGACAGGGAAAGATGTCAAGTGTGGCTACGTGTCGCTGCACAAGAAAATTCTTTAGGAAGTTACCTCAATATTGTCACTCAAGATGACAAATTGCTCAGGTACATCAGGATTTTCTAAACTCATAGAAAGTTGTAGTATCAATCTTGCCACTGAATGAATCTGGTGATTCTCATTATCAGCAAAAAATTAGGGTCTGAATCCAGTGAGAAGTGTTATAAATTAAGGTGATCTTTCCATTTCTGAGCTCCATTTTGAGACAACTGATTTATTTTTTAAGGGAAAGATAAACTTTAATAATGCAAATAGACTATTCCCTTTAGTATATAGATAGATTTCTGTTTCTAAGCTTTCTCACCTGACATGAAAAGGATTTGTCTTCGATTGGTGATATGAAACAGTATACACTCAATTGAAGAATCGTTGTTGGGTTCAGAAACATAGAATATAGAAGCTGAGACCGAAATGGCACATGGGAAGTACGTTAATTACTGAGATGCATGCTGTGACCGGCGACCCGTGGCATCATCCACTCTCAAATGAAGGTCTTCTGAATACGCATTTGGCATTCCAAACCAACTGCATGGATGGCGCAAATGAATAAATTATAATATAATTATGTCATTTCCCATGTGCCATTTCAGTCTCAGCTTTTATGTTCTATGTTTCTGAACCCAACAGCGATTCATCAATTGAGTGTACTTAATAAAAAAAACATTGGAAACATAGAAGGTAATAAATTGTGTTAATCTTTTTTCGCTTGCAGGGAGTTTTATCATCCTCATGCATTTGTTTTTGATGAAGTAAAGGTTGACACAGCCAAAACAGTACTATTGTATGGTTTATCCCATCTAGACTTTAATATGTAAGTTTTGCTGTCAATAGGGCATGTTTTCCCATTTGCCAGACCATGTGTCATTCCCTAGAGTACCATTTCTTTGTTTAACAGTTGTGTGTGAGAAGACACATGAATATAGATACAACTCAAACAAAGAATCTTATTCTCAAGAGAATGACACCTGGTTTGTAATGAGAAAACATTACACCCAAGGTAAAGAGGTCTATTTCAATTTCTATTATAATTTATTAGGAACAAGTGATATGGTGAACAGATATTAACATTCAGACTACAGTACTTTTAGTAGAATGGCACATGCACAGTAATACCATGAGGGGGTCACTCCCCACCAACCTCAGCAAATCAATCCTCCTTAAGAATACATGCATATTACAATTAATACACCTATTTCAAAAAACATTGCCATCGCCAAAGGTGATAGGTGATAGGCAATAGGTGAAAAGTGACAGGAGATAGGTCATTCCAAGATCCAAGAATMGCTGGAATGACTTGTGTTTCTGCTTCTTTTGTCAAGAACATGGATCTTAGTGTTGAGACTGATTCAATGTTATTTGTAGTTAATGAAACCATCTCCATCTCAGAATGACATTGCCTATATCGTCTTTGGCAATGACAATGTTTTTTTTGAAATAGATGTATAAACTGTGTAATAGATGAATAATGTTAAAGTGAAATGATATTTTCCAGTTCTTTAGATATCCCTCATCAAACACCCATAAAGAATGTCCAGAAACAAGAATATACAGGTAAGGGACAATAGATATTTAGAACTTATTTTACACAGTATCATTTAAAAAAGATGTGCGGATTGCTTGAAAGTAAACACAGACAGATAAATGCTATCTTATATGGATGGGTGGGTATGTAAAGATCCATGGGAGGGGAGAGCTAGCTGCTTAGATGTATGCACTCTACCCTGTATAGGAGGATGATGGGTGGGTAGGTATAGATCCATGGAAGGGGAGAGCCAGCTGCTTAGATGTATGCACTCTACCCTGTATAGGAGGAGGATGGGTGGGTAGGTATAGATCCATGGGAGGAGAGAGCTAGCTGCTTAGATGTATGCACTCTACCCTGTATAGGAGGAGGATGGGTGGGTAGGTATAGATCCATGGGAGGGGAGAGCTAGCTGATTAGATGTATGCATCTACCCTGTATAGGAGGATGATGGGTGGGTAGGTATAGATGCATGGGAGGAGAGAGCTAGCTGCTTAGATGTATGCACTCTACCCTGTATAGGAGAATGATGGGTGGGTAGGTATAGATCCATGGGAGGGGAGAGCTAGCTGCTTAGATATGCATCTATCCTGTATAGGAGGAGGATGGGTGGGTAGGTATAGATGCATGGGAGGGGAGAGCTAGCTGTTTAGATGTATGCATCCACCCTGTATAGGAGGAGGATGGGTGGGTAGGTATAGATCCATGGGAGGGGAGAGCTAGCTGCTTAGATATGCATCTACCCTGTATAGGAAGTGGGTAGGTATAGATCCATGAGAGGGGAAAGCTAGCTGCTTAGATGTATGCATCCACCCTGTATAGGAGGAGGATGGGTGGGTAGGTATAGATCCATGGGAGGGGAGAGCTAGCTGCTTAGATGTATGCATCCACCCTGTATAGGAGGAGGATGGGTAGGTAGGTATAGATGCATGGGAGGGGAGAGCTAGCTGCTTAGATGTATGCATCTACCCTGTATAGGAGGAGGATGGGTGGGTAGGTATAGATCCATGGGAGGGGAAAGCTAGCTGCTTAGATATGTATCTACCCTGTATAGGAGGTGGGTAGGTATAGATCCATGAGAGGGGAGAGCTAGCTGCTTAGATGTATGCACTCTACCCTGTATAGGAGGAGGATGGGTGTGGCATAATATTGTTTTCATGAGATGCGTTGGTTGTGATACCTAAATCCATCCTTTTAATTCCCTCCTATTTTCACTACAGCATCTGTGGCAGCTCTGATTCCAGACAAGTCTCTCACAACAAATGGCTATCACTCCTCCTACTCCTCACCTATGACATACCCTGAAAGCCTCTCGCAATCGCCTCACAACAGCTTAACAAAGTCCAAGAAGAAAAAGAAGAAAATTAAGTCATCAGTAGCTGAGATAGCTGACAGCTTAGATGAAAGTGATGGCAGCAGACTTACATCAGTGGAGCGGTACATGTCGTCATCAATGACTGACTCTAAAAATGACCTTCAAAACGATTCTCTTCATGACGTAGATACTAATATGGAGTCGCTCTCTAACATTCGATTAGCACGGACTGTTTCTGTTGGGTTTGAGGCCACGAAAAACAAAGAAACATATGAGACTAGGAATATAAAAAGTTCGAGCTCTCTAGAAGATATAAATGACGTCAAAGAAAGCAAAGATACAGAAAGCTTGCAAAATGCGTTAGATAATTTATGTTTAGAACCAGATGGTGCGGCGTTAGGCGATGTTCAGCAAAACAAAGGAAAACAAAGCAAACTTGATAATATTTTAGATGAGAAAGTCGTAATAGGGAAAGAAAGTTATTTGAACCAGGAAGAATTGTCTGAAAATATAACAAACTTGGAAGATAAAGATTCTGCGGTAGAAAATGAGACTCTCAACAATTTAAGCGACTTTTCTGGGAAAACTGAGGAATTGCATGGAAATATGGTGACAGAAACGTCTGATAACAGCACAATAAAGAGTACTCGAATTGAAGAAGAAATATTATGCGAAAAAGATGTTGAAGATGTATCAACACCTTGTGATCAATCTGTAGTAGATGAAGAACAAATGTCCGAAATTTCAGAGAAAGGAAAAAACAATCTTGAAACTGTATTGGAGGAGATAAAAGATGAAGTTGAATATAAAGTATCTTGTGCACGGTATGAGTTTGGTACTCCTATTGAAACATCTTTTGACGATGACACAGAGCAAAATAAAAATCATCTTAGTCCAGAAGAGGACGAGGATCTGAACTTTGTACCAGGAATACATAAAGTTGATGACTGGCGCTCTCAAAGCAGTAGCATTAATAGTTTTACAGGTTCTGGTTCATTTTCACATACAAAACCGGTTGTAGAGAAAGTGCAAAGAACGTCGACTATGGATTCAATTAAGTCTTCTTCGGTGAGTGGCAGCGTGCAGAATGATTTATGGAGGTTTGTGGATGATGAGGTTGAGAGGAGAAAGGACTCCAGGGCTGATGACATGAGTGTTGCTACAGAAGACAGTTTCAGTGATCTTGGAATATTTGAAGAACTTCTTGGAATGGAAGAGGATCACTTTTCTACTCCAGATGTAAGTCGTTTAGTTTTAATCTCTGAATTAATTAATTTCCTCTCCTCTCCTCTCCTCTCCTCTCCTCTCCTCTCCTCTC